TCAACAGTAGCATAGACTGACCATATTTATCTATAAGGACAGCTCACACAGGAGGCAGGTATATTCCTAACAAGGTGATTTATTGTTGACTGTTTTTGTTAAACCGGTTCAAGAACCAGAGTTAATTTGGTTGAAATGGGGTCCTTCTAGTCCACACTTCTCTTTCTACAGTCATAGTTCCTGTTTGGATGTAAGCATGTTCTACATACATGAACTTGACTATGAAGCAGGCTGATATTGAAACAAAATATTACAGGAAAAACAAAAAAACATAAGCAAAACTTATTTTAAATGGCAAGTATTTTCATTTGAAATTTGATTGTATTATGTGTTTTTTCAATTAAATTATTACATTTTAAAAACATATTCCTCTGCATAACACTAGAAGGCAGCTTGCATACCACCAGTGGTACACAAACCATAGTTTGAGAACCAGTGGATTACAGCCACTAGCAGTGCCTCATGTGTGTTCTGTGTTTAGTTCATTACCAGATGGATGAAGGTTTCCTGTGCCCCCTGTAGAGCATAGAGAAAGACTGAGCTGAGGTAGTATTATGTACTGTGTAGCTGCTGGTTGTGACCTTATTGGGCACTCCCTCAGCTGTGGGAAAAAGTATATATCATTGCAGATAACCAGTGGAGACAGTTAACCTAGCTCTCTCTCTCCGACCGGCTGACTGAAACAGCCTGTAACTGTGATTACAAACCTTGGATGACAGAGCTTTGGCTGTTGCTGTTGCTGTGATTGTGGCTGTAGCTATGGCTGCACTTTGGTTGTTATGATTATGGCTGTGACACATTAGTTTATAATGAGTGTAACACTAACTACACACAGGGGCTCTGTGTGTGCAGTGAACTGACATGGTTGTGTTGGCTGAGCGCTGTATTGAAGCTACTGTATTCCTGAACTCCCGCGGTGTATTCGTAACACATCTGTCAAATCTGATAGAAGCACAGCGTTCGAATCCTGTGTGGCTTAACAATGCTTTCTTGGCTTATGGTAACAGGAGCAGTAAATCTGTCACAGTTCAGCTACTGTATATCCAGAGCATCATAGATTCAACCACAAACACAGCCATAGGAACAAAGCAGCACAGCCAGTGGCTTTAAACTGTTGGAGGTCGGCCTTTTAAAAGAAGTATTGAGCAATAAATGCATCATCAAGTGTCACATCATCTCTTCTTTCTGTAGTGTTTCCACAATGTTCCCCTAAACTGTATTAAAACTGGGGTGGACCAACACATTTACTGTTACCATGGATCTGGTGGAAAGCAAAAAATATTGGAATGCTTGTTAACTGATCACTGCCCCTCTAAGAGATCACTTGTAAACTTAACATCTCCATTGTATGTCAGTTAGTTTTGTAGTGAAGCTCCGTATTTTTTAGCCACACCAGTAGGGTGGCCATATCTTTCACATCAAAAAGGAGGACACTTTGCATACACAGGGACACGCAAGCAGATATTTGTTTGGTATGATCCGGTTTTAATATGTTTTTCCACCAGATTACATAAAGGTGCATACACATACCACATAGCTAATAATAAATATACAAGATACAGCTCATGACAACGTGGCCTTCCAATTCAGATTACATAGGTCTAATAAACATCATACAGAAACTGTTCTTAATGTTTTTATCTGGATAGATAAAGGGTAAAACAATACAGCACCCTCTGAGCATTTTCAGAATTCAGTCCAACAACCGATGTTAGTTAATGTTAAGTTCTCTGTTGCTGAGAGCTTGACTGACAGCCTGGTGGTAGCAACTGCCTGATGGCTCATTTGAATATTAAAATTAGCCATGTCTTGATAGGTCACACATGAAAATGTAACCAATGAAATTACTTATTTTGACACACATTTTTAGCCAATAAGTATTAAACTAACGAGGTAATGTGTCAAAAGGCGGACCTTTTTTGTTATTTTCTCAAAAGGAGGACAAATGAGAGTCAGGCTTAAGGTTGCGCCTGCAGCCAGACAGGGCATTTAAAAGGCAGACTGTCTGGCCTAAAGCCAGACGAATGGCCCCCCTACACACCAGCATCATGGCTCTTGGGTAACATCTGTCGGACCACGACAACTTGAATCTTTATCCGGGCATTCGTGTTCCCCAGATTGAAGACCTCGGTTTGATGGATTGTCATAATCTCTTAACTTTTAACCTGGCGCCCTCATCAGGAAGAAATTAACACCAACACCAGCCTACTTTGGTTGTTAATACATTGGTTTATGACTGACTCAGTTTAGTGTTAATCGGCAGGTGTTAGCATGCTAACACGCTAAACTAGAATGGTGAAAGTGATAATCTACCTGCTAAAAATCAGCATATTAGCCTTGCTGTTGTTCACATGGCTGTAGATGAACAAAACACGGAAGCAGTTTTTTCCATCAGTCACTTCTATTATGCATAATGTGTGTGTGTGTGTGTGTGTGTGTGTGTGTGTGTGTGTGTGTGTGTGAATGGTCCCCATATTTTTTTTATTCACTAATAAAGTTTGCCATCTTATCTGTGCATATGCCGGATACCACAGTGTTTGCACACACACATCAGAGGTTGTAGTTGTAATTCACTGTTTGCTCACACATTTAGCTCTTTATTACAAGTGGATGAAGCAAACAGGATGTGAAGACAAACATGCACAATGAGAACAAGAAGAGGCAAACATCCATCACTGAGAAATTTTAATTTTACTCTTACAAAATAACTACCTCCAAATGTAAAAATTGTGTGTGAAGTCTCAGGTGGGTATCATTTTCAAGCCAGCAAAGGGAAAGTCAAAATCAAACATGCAAACCTGTTGATCATGCTGTCCAGGATTTTTATACACACTAGCTTGTTTGCACTGGGTGCTACCCAAGATAAAACGGGAGGAATTTAATGCTAACACACACAGTGGACGATAACTGCAGGAACTGACTGTACTGGAGCCAAACCTTTGTTGTAGTGTTTTTCTCATCAAATTCAAAGACTCTTTGAAGTTCTTGATATTTTCGGGGGATTTACAGCAAGACCAGCAGACTTTAAATGTCATTTTTAAGATGAATTCAGAAAAATCAGTAATATGCTGTCACACAACCTGCTGTGACTGACTTAAATGTAACTATCCGAAACTCCACAGGGTACTTTTAAAAAAATACATCACTGATAATGTCATCAGTATGAGCTCATGTGCAGTTTAAGTCACGGGACACTTGTTCAGCAGTGTGTGTCATCTTTCAAAACATATTCCACTCAGTTACACTCAAGATAAAGTTGTTTGTGAAGGTTTACACAATATACCAAACTTTACAAACTTCCATGTATTCAATGTACTGCGCATATTTTAACCCTGTTACAATAATGGCTTGTGGAATACATTTCAGTCATTTAAAAAATCATAATTAAATAATGTTAAAATGTATTATTAAGAAAAGTTATGGTTATTCTGAACAGGTCAGCATGTATGGAACATAGACATTGTACATTGAGTTAAATCTTCCTCAAAAATATAATTAAAGTAACAGTTTTTTACCCAGGTTTAGGATTTATTGCATCTCCGTAACCCATTGAACTGTGGACTTCATGTAAGCAAATAAAGATATGTTTACATTCAGTGTTTCTCACCAAAAAACAACTGTCGATCATTAGATAGAATGAAACCATCACCACGTGCACAATACAAACAAAACTGGACCCACATGTTTGCTCAATAGCACCCCTAGTGGTCAAAAACTACTATAGGGTTTCTTTAAGTTAGATGTACAATATGTGCGCACTTGATGAAGAGACAAGATGGTGGAGAACAGGAGTGATCTTTCTCTCTCTGCCAATACACCAAACATTTGTCCAAGCAGGAATGTCAACACTTAAATTAAAGGTTTTTTTAAAAAAAAGGCAAAGGTCATCCGGTAACCAGGACACCGGATTCATTCACCAGAATGTAACTTACTTACTAAAATGTGTAAAAAAAAGAAGAAATCTGTGTGACTAAGCTCTTCCAAAGACTATTTTCATGTTTGTTTACTTCACGGACAGATGACAGGGCCTGGTGGTTGAGCAAACAAGTAAATTGGATTGCTGGACAGGACACATGGCCCAATTCAACCTCTTGGAAAACATAAACCAGTGAGGGAGGAAATGGGAGCAGATCCTCATGTTTGTGAGAGGAGAATGAGATAAGTAAATTAACAAAGATCTTCTAATTTCAGCAATTTTGATTATCACATTTAATTAGATTGTTTCTAATTTGATCAGTTTCTGAGTGGACGTTTCTGTCACAATCGATGGGGAGTTCCAACTCATTCACATCACATTAGAGTAATTGTAATGATCCTGACACATAAAAACACTTCCAAGTTGTAATTTAATGTGTAAATGTTTGTCTTTATCATTGGAACCTGATTCTTCCAGAGAGAAAACCTGACCCACCCACTGTGCAAATAACAGTCTTACAACTATATTCGTACCCTTAAACCAACATTGCATCAATAACTGACAGAGATACAAAGGTTTTAATAGGCGTTGTATTCCTTTGCTGTACTGCTTTTTTTTGCAACATGTCATTCAGTTCAGTTTTAATTTGTCTACCTTCTCATGACACTTTCCATATAGATTCTCCTGATAAAATCCCTGGCATGAATGCAGCAAATCAACCATAACAAGATCTCACTTGTCAGTTAATATCTGAGGTCATGCATCACCATTCTCTCCTATAACATCTACAGATCCATGACATGTGACTGGGGACTTAAGCCCAACTGGCCTCTATGTAACCTCATGATCATTTCACACTTGAATACTGTCCAAGCAACGCAATGCCCCAAATTATTCCAATCTAATTTATTTACCATTAATCGGGCATTTCCTGACATAAATGCAAACCAAAAGGGGTTACAACGTGTTTAATACTGTACCAATGCCAAGGAGGCCAGGGGGGCCAAAGCACAAAGCTGGACCCTTTGAAGTAAAAAGTCAAGGAAGGCGGAGAGGAGGCTTGTCTCACTGCCTGACTCATGGTTAACTAGACATGTGATTAGCATTGCTGTCTGCTACTTAGTTTGCCCTGCAGTCAGCCTGGTCTGCCCTCAGAGGAAATACTGCCTGCGGGCTACTCTGTCAACACCAAGGTAAGTCTTATTTATGTATACTGACCTCCTCATGATGTTAAGAGGAATAAATTATGCTGATGCCCACATGTGTTTGTATCTCAGAGATGCTACTATAAATTTAAACCTGTTGTTGCCCCTTTTTTTTATACTTAAACTTATCAGCTGGCGTTTTTGGCTCCTTTCATTGGACCAAACTCATGTCTGAAACTTTTGACAACTTTCTTAAATCTACTGAAAGGTAACCAAGGTTGCCACATTTAAAATAAGTATAATATAGTATAATGTGTGCTTTATCTCTACTGTTCTTATGCCGGTAAAATTATTCCAGGTTTGTGTGCGTCCACACCTGTTATCAAGCCAAACCTTCCTTTTGCAAACACATGGAGTCCTTCAAATGTGCACCTGTGGAGTTTTGTGCACCAGCAGCAAATTTAATGCAGCTAATCCTTTGTAGACCTCATGGTAAACAATTTCACTGGCTAAGGAATAAAGACTGAAGGAAGTAAGGAATATGATAGTTAGTGTGTGCATGTTTTCATAATCTTCCCCTAATACAACAAAGATACCAAGTAGCTCACCCGCTTAGCAAATACACACAGGGCTTTTATATGCTGCTTGGCTATTCAATGAAGAATTTAACTCAGTGTGCAAACTATATCATGGCCTTCAGGGGAGCTCGATGTTCTGACTGTGGAAATGAATAATGGCAATTTGGTACAGATCAAGAAAGTTTTTGTTTAGTTTTTTCTGATCTTTTCTTAACTGACGTTCCTTAACTTAAAGTAAATAAAGTCAATGATATTGAGCCACCACGCTTCAATGGTGATGGCAAGGATACCATGCATGTCGGTATCTTTATTAAAGTGAATTGGTGATGAATCATCCTAATGCATCAATCATCAACCTTATTCTACGCCTGATCCGTGAAGATATAAAAAAAAGTATCATATCATATTGTCCATATTAAGTCTTATTAAGCTTCCCCTGGCTCCCCTGTAGTTCACACCCTGCTTTAACTGTGGGAAGGTCGTAAGCAGTATCTTACACAGCTGGCTGAGTACAATGTTCGACTCATATTGTTCTAGCATTTAGATGTGACTTGTATCTCTGTTAAACTTGCATGCTTGTTTTTACCATTAGTGCCCACTTGCACAAGCAGAAATTAGATTAGGCTTCTTTTTTTTTACATAACACAATTATGTGATGTTCCTGAGCATTCCTCCTGTCCTCCCTGATTATCTAGTGTTTACATGCAATTCAGTGGTATTAGATTGTGTGTGTGAAGGTCTGCGTGTACATGTGTGCATCGCTCTGTCAGCTTGAGAGATACCTCATCCTCTGAGACCAATTCATTATAAAACTGGACCATGTGAAATATTTGGGCAGGCTCCATTTCACAGAGACTTGATTAAAATCTCTGAGCAATGTGATGGTTGAATGGTGCCAAACCTCCCCAGATCACAGGACAGATGCATGTGACAGAGACGTTTTAAGCACCTAATCGAGAGCAATACTCCAAGTCACTGACCCTTGATCGATACTATTATTCTGGTCTGCTGTTTTCGGCGAAAAAGCAAGAAAAACATCTGTAACCTATGAATTGCAGTTTCAGTTAGGCTTAAGTTAAAGGTTAATTAACCTTTGGAGAAGTTAGCGTTACAGTCTGTCAAGGAAGGAAAAAGAGAACACAGAAACTAAGAGTCAGAAACTATTTTCTAGCTATTGAGCATTAAAGAACAGATAATAAAGCCATAAAGTCTGAAATGCAGAAGTTGTCAAGAAGACTCACAATCCATATTCAGGTTATTGGTTGCTGTCATCATTTATCTTGTCCATAATAGCCACAAAGTTATCCACATGACTTTGCTGTGAAAGAAAACAAAATCCACAGCCCAACCCCTTGTTCTGTGCAAAATACATTCTAAAGCCAAAGCTAATAAGAGGCCTCAGCAGCTGAGTTGGCCAATTAAGTGGGGATCTTCCAAATTTACAGTGTTTATAGTATGAGATTCCCTTTTCATGTTTCCATGGACAGTGTTTCCTACTTTGTATGTAGGCTTTTTTTTTTTACCATGGCACAACACCAGCAATGTACACACTGCAGCCAGGAGATGTCCATTTGACCTATCTTTTAATGAATATATAGGTATTAGCAAATGTCTTGACCTGACCTTTAATTTTACAGTGTTATGTTTCCAACAAAGTGAAATAGAGGAACATGCAACAGATGTAAACAGGGCCTTTTTCGACTGTTATGGTCTTTGTCTGCAATGTTCAAGAGTTTAAGAGGTCAGTGAAACACTTATGGTTTAGAAACTTGTGTTTCAATTCACTCCCTTCACCCACCGATGAGTAGCAGGGACATTCACGTGCAAACTTCATGCAAGAAATCTGTTTCCAACCTGGCATGTGAATTTGTACTGTGAACCAGACGTGACCAACTGTTTAACACTTGTGTCAAGTTGTTTTCTTTAACACTAATGTCGCATAGAATCGCTGGCGGTGCAACACTGATTGATTATTTGGAAAAATAATGCAAGTGCCCTTATTTTACAATTTGTAGTGATCATGCAACATCCTTACTCTCATTTTTTAACGCTAATGCTGACTAATAGCTTAACTTTGCCTCATTTACAACTGACTAATCGTTTTGTTTTTTTTACTGTAGCAGCACCAGGCAGCCTGCCAGCTCACAGGCATCAAATTCACAATTATGCCTGGCACAACAACAGGCAAGAAGCTGGATCTTTCCAAGCTCACAGATGAGGAGGCCAAGCATGTTTGGGCAGTCGTCCAACGAGATTTTGACCTGAGGAAGAAGGAGGAAGACAGACTTGGGTAAGTTAAAAAGATCATGTTATGTTTCTATTTGATAAAGATTGGTCTCTCAGCGATCCCATAGAAAGATACCCCTTTGGATGTGTATGGCTTCAGGATTAACGTCACAATGGTTATGCAATCCGACAATACTCCCCAAAACCCCTGACAACCCCTGAATTCTTTAGGGGTTTGGTATTCATAAAACACAAGTGGTAATGGTGTCTGTAATTAAAATTAACCCTATTACAGTATTCCAATACAGACAAACAAAAAATAAGCAGACAAATAATGAATAATGAATTCAGAATTATAAATCTAAGACTAGTATAAGATTATACTTTTTTCTAAGTAAAAAAATGTAGTGTTTTTATTTTCTGCTCCAAATGTCAGCCACGAGGCATGTGACTTACATAACGTAACTTGATCAATAAAGTGAAGTCTAAGTCTCTCTAAGTCTTATGTAAGTTTTGTTTTCATATGGGACACAAACCCTGGTTTCCTGGTTGAAAATCCACCCAAAATTGACTTTCTCGCTCTTTTTACTATGTTACCAGACACAGATGGGTTTACATCAATGCCCAGTGCGTCCCCTGAGACACTGAGGAGGTTTACAAAGTGTCGGTACTTGAAAAGAATTGAGAATTTTTGATTTCTTCTTTCACAACTCACAAATAGATCAGTAAATTGGACACTAGAGAAAAAAAAAATCGCTTTTGAATAGAAACACTGTATTTGTTTCACATGGTGGTTCATTGCTCTTATATCATATTATAACGTCAGCGTAAACAGCACAGGGTGCTCACATATCGCAGTGAGCCAGTAATCACATATCCTGTTCTCAAACCGTGTAATGTGAGATAATTGGTTGTCTGCTGGGTTTCTTTATTGAGGGAAGATGGCTGGTCTTGTTTAAATTTCGTAAGGCAGAAATACAGTAAAATGCTGCGCTGTATTTCTGAAGGCTGCTCTAACTTTGCTGAGCTGTGCGTCATCATGATTCAGTCATTTGCTCCTAACTGACTGAGCTACTGCTCACATGTCTCCTTGGCAATAGTGACTGATGGATGGTTTAGATATCAGGCTGTGGGAGGAAGAGGTTTAGAGGGAATTTCCCCTCTCTCTTGGATGTGGGATGACCTCTGCACAGCAGCAGCAGCAGCAGTCCTCTTGAAGAGTAAGGATAGTCCACAAAATGAAGAAAACATTCATTGATACATTCTTTCACCTGCTATTTGTATCTTTAATCCACTTTGTTGAATGCCTAAAGCTACAAAACTGGTGATGTGTGAAAGCTAACTCTAAGGGCTGTGTCGACACTGCAGGCTGTGACTCAGATCTGTTTTTTTCATGACAGTTTGAATGGAATAAATCACATATAATCTGGTCATGTGGTCCAAATCAGAGACTGTCACAACGCAGGAAAATCAGGATTGGACCTAAATGCAAGACAGCACTGGAAGCAGGGAGATTTTGGTGATTTAATATAATATTTCCACAAACAAGCAGGTCCACGTGCAGGTAAACAGATCGAAGACATATAAAAAGCAAAAAAATCCAACAAGGGAACTCAGAGCAGAGACAAAATAACCTGGGCTGAAACAACCAGGAACTAAAACAAGACTAAATACACAACTGAGGGGAAAGATAACAAGAGACAGGTAAAATCACAAACCATGACTGACACATGTTTTGTTTTTTTACAATGTGACCTCAGTGTGAACAGTCATATCAGAATTCATGTGACCTTTATGTCACTCTGGATTTATTTGGGTCAATTCAGGTCACTGTGACCTCTTCACACTGGAATGTCATATGGGCCAAACAAAACAACAACAAAAGGTTTATACACAATATTTCTTATTGAAATGATTCACTGAAACCACTCAAACATCATCCACCCCCAAGATTACACATGGCAGCCTCATTACATATTGCCTGGAAAACCTGAAATAGCTGCCTAAGTTTCCTCCGTAAAAGTTCATTTGATTAAACACAATACGTATATCAGAACAGGCACCACATGGGCATTATATAAACTAAAATAATGGAGGTATTAAAGCTAAATTTGGACCCAGGGCTCCTCTACAAGACAACAGGAACCGCTTTACAGTAAAGCCTTTCTCCTTTCACTTTATATGACCCTTCAGAGCATATCACCAAACACACTTGCAAGTGATCAGATCAAATGATCCCCAAGAGCTCCTGGTGTGTTCAACTTCACTTATTGTATTACAAGTTGTAACCTCTTGATGTACACACCCATAGTCCACACACACACAGGTGTTTCCACTAAAGGAGTGTGTGTGGGGGTAAAAGCTGTTTGTGATTGATCTCGAGTTTGGCGACGTCAAACAGTTTCCATAAAGCTCCACCTACTTCCACCTGACTGTAGCTAGTGATGGGAAACACTTATGTGGGGTTGCAGGGCCTTTAAAAAACAAGTAAACTAAGGTCTATCTTGATATGATCCGGCTCCTGGAGGGTTTTTTTTTTAAGATGGCTATCTCAGACAAATTGATTTCCTACTTATTCATACAGCTTTCTGATCTCCAGGACTAAAATACTCCAGTTTATATTTCTCAGTGTTGTTTCTGGGCTCGATATCTCATCTGGGCCACTTTGAAATGTTCCAGACTTTAAGACACTTTTGAACGCATTTACAAGATTTCCTGTTGTTCCTTATTTTCCCCCTTCTCTGTTGGACATTGTGCTTTTGTGCATAATAAAATGGTCTTTTTACAATGATTTAATCGCACTTGGACCTTCTTGTCTCCAGCCTGCATTTCCCCAAAGCAGCAATAAATGGGGGAAGTCAGACGTTTTTGTTTTTTTTGTCGACGTACATTTTCATACATGCTGTTTATTCTTGAAGATTCCTCACTCCTGAAGCAGGTTTGTCTGTGTTTGTGAGTCTCCTTCGGGACAACACTTTCCTTCTTCAGTTTCAGCCACTTAGCTTGCGTTCCCTGCCAAGGTTCTTCTTCAGCTATTTGTTTTCCGTTCACATGAGCTGTTGTTTTCATGCATGGCCTCTGCAATCTATAAATAGGTGCTGATCTTCATGTGGTTTACATATAAAACTGTCACGACTAAATCTTGTAAAACCACATATGTTGGATTATAGAATGGAATATCTTATTCTGGCAAGGATTTAGTGTTTGTTTTGCTTCACCAAGTCCACCACAACAACAAAGACATCATTTAACTTCAAAAAAAGGGATTTTTAAGTTTGTTTAGTCATAATTTTCCTGTGGTGGATTCATTTTAAAATCATTACAAATTTGATGACATGAAATCTATGATACATTAATAGCAAAATACTTTCTAATTAGGCTACTTCCTGTTGAGTTTGGACATACTTTCATCAGATCAGGTGATCAACTGAATGTTTCCAGTGTAAATAGGCCATTATTTGCTTACACATTTGCTATATCAACTTTAAAAAGTGATAATATGTCAGTGTTGTGTTTCCATTCCCTGCAAATGGCAAAAAAGGACAGAGGGAGAGAATTAATGCTGTTTGAAAGTGTTCTTGAGCATAGTTTTAACTGTGTAGCTTTCCTGCACAGAGATAAAAATAACCTGTCTTTAATTTGAAGACAGAAACCCAAATTAAGTTAAGCTGCAACAGATTTATAACTGTTAGATGTTTGTTAGTAAGGTCTAAATATGGATGGGTTCACAAATGAGTCATATGAGCAAAAGGTACATTTTAAAGAACATAAAAGCATAACGGCCATTTGTGGAAGAATCAAAAACTATCCCAATATCCCAAATGCATTTCCTCATTGATTGACTGTTTGTTGTCTTAAGCTGGGTCTCTCTCTGGAAAGCATTATGTCTTAGCCCTAATCCTCTCTGTGTGTGTGTGTGTGTGTGTGTGTGTGTGTGTGTGTGTGTGTGTGTGTGTGTGTGTGTGTGCCAGAGTGTGTGTGAGTCCCCTTTTTTATTTCTCTCTCATTCTCACTTTCAATCGCCCCTTGAAGTATACGGTGACAGAATTGATTTAAGAGAGAGGAAAAGAATAGAATATGAGGTTTTGATGTGGAGATAGAAGATTGAGAAATAAGCACACTGGCTTAAACGCGGATAAGAACGTCTGAAACTGGAAGTTCATTTAAAGGAGAGAGGGTTTGATTTGTGCGGACAGACATGGCGAGAAGATCACCATGTATGGGAACACTCAGTTACTTTGCTCTTCGTTGCTGTCTGTGTCTAAGTGAACGTCTGGCTGCCGCACCCGGATTCCTCAGCTCTGCCAGTTAAGCAAATACTCTGCAGTACCTGCTTTTAATCAGGAAAAGGGAGGATTCTGAGAACATACTTTAGTGTGTTACTTGGTCAAAACTACAGAGAAAATGTACATGGTCATGGGAGCTATTTATAGTGTAAAGCTTAGTTTTATGACCTTCACTTTTTGCAGCAGGAAAGGAAGTGAGAGAATATAATCATTTAATTGTTGCATTGTAGTTACTCTGGATCTCTATGAAAAAGTGCTGTTGTGATGAAAATTGAATATAATATTCATTGGTATGTTTTCGTAGTTTCTCCTACAAACAGAGGAAGGGGAGGTGAGTGGTATTCAGCTGGCTGCAATCTGAAATCTCACCAGTAGATGCCACTAAATCTTACTGGACCTTTTAAGGTGCCCTGTGGAGTTTCCTTGTAAATAACCAAGAGTTATTTTTACATTACACGTGCTGAATTCATTTCCTACATCGTGCAATATTTCAAAACAAATTTTTCTTAAAGATTTTTAAATCCAGCTGTTTTTACATCAATGTTTACTGACTTGCAATAAAAAAGTGTGAAACCAGTGGCAGGACAATGTATCATGTCACCTGTGTGAATCGGTGTGTGTACCATGTGTGTGTGTCCTCATGCACAAACACAACCTCCTGTACAGATATTTAAGTGAAGAACAATTAATCAGGAAAAATAACTGAGTATTATTATTAATGATTATATAAGAGCCAACTAAAATTTTGATAGAGTAAAATATTGAAGAGATCAGGTCGCTGGGGAAGGAGCAGATTGATGGATGGGAAGGGAAGGAGTAAAGAAGGATTTAAAAAGGTTTAGGTTATAGTTGGACATTCATGAAGAGGGCGTTTAATTTCAGGGGGTTTTGTTTCATTTTCCTTCCTCTTAAGTATGATATATTCTTGTATGTTTTTTTTTCTTCTGTATCCCTTACACTATTTGTTATTTTATTTATTTATTTAGATATGTGCTATGTACTCCATAATGAATGTGGTAATTGAGAAAGCCAAACCAACAAAAAACGTTTGTCACAATAACAAAACACAACAGGGACCCCTCTCTTTTATAATGGTTCATAAAAGCATTTAAACATTGCCAAGAAGAAATCCTCTGCTGCACATAAGTGTCTTCATATTTACAGATGGATTGGAATAAAATAAGAATGTAGAAATATGAGGGACAGCAGTCTACAATTAAAGGGGTTGACAAACCAACAGGGAATTATCATACAAATCTGCACTTTCACTCTACAGAGCCTTTTAGGGTCATTCAGCTCATTGTTTCTGTTTTATGGCCCACAGCTTTACTGCTTTGCATCAGTCTCACTGCTCTCATCAGCATCATTTCCAGCTGCAGGCAGCTGTTTCCAGTAAAAAAAAAAAAGCTCTACACTGTCTCTACCACCCAAAACAGCAGACGGAGACAGTTAGCAATTAGCTGTTGAACATAGTGTGGCATTTGGCAGCTAAAGAGCCACATACTTCACTCAGAAGTGGGTGGAGACCAAAACAGAGCTAAGAAGAAGAGTTATTATCGGACTTGCATTCATCAGGTGGCTTTTAACACTTCTGTAATTTTTGCACTACATTTCCCCTGTGCTGCTGTGTCAACTTTAATTTCTCCCATGGGGGATCAATAAAGAAACCACATATCTTAAAACACTAATGCTAATATGGCCCTGTGTCTGGTGGATATGTAACTTTCTGAACAAAAAATTATTAATTCTGCTTTAATTTTGTTATTGTATTATATTATACTGTGTTTATGTTGAGTGCAAAACAGTAAAGGCCCGGACACACCAACCAGATTATCGGCTGTCAGACGTCGGTGACTCGAGAGGGTTCGGTGTGTCCCATGCTGTCTTCAGTCGGTGTCGGCGTCAGTGTTCATTTTGGCCGATCCGACATGTAGAATCGGCCAATGGCCGTTGGCCTCAATGACCAATCTGATTGGTGGAGTGCTAGCCCTTGACTAGCGAATCACGAGAAAACCGGAAGTGACGATGGTAAACATACTACGCCAACGCCAGTATCTTGTTATTATTAGCCATCGTATTTTCCGTTCAGCGAGTAATGACAGAAATGATCCTTCTTGACTACAATCAACACTCTCTGATGAAAACAATGACTGAAGACAGCGTGCTCTGTGTTTACTAGGTCTAGAGTGATCCATCATTTCTGGTTTTCATTTTTTGGGGGCGACAACACAGATTAGCGTCGGCTGCTGTTATGGGAACGTATTACACCTCGCGCACGCGCAGAACGTCCGCTCCAGTCGGTATCGGTTTGGTGTGTTCAAAGGCACTTTTTTGACCGACTCGGGGAGACGGGAGCCGACTGATCAGTCCGACTGCTTTTCTGCCGACGGTCGGCCGTCGGTTTAGTGTGACCTGGCCTTTAAGCAACAACCTAATAAACAAAATCTCTGCAAAATTAAGAAAACTAAATCTAAAATATTCCAGAGCTTTCAGTCACATTTCAAACCCCCTCTCACTCTTGGGAAGTCACTTGATATTTGAACTTGCCAGCCATGTATCAGTGCTTGGAAGGCCTGGTAGTTGCCTACAGCACCCATCTTATTTGAATCATAGAAGGCCATCTTGTTTACCAGATCTGTGGGATTTGATGTTTCAGAGGAGGGAAGATTTAACAGATATTACTTTTAAATCACATCGCTAATGGCCAGCAGCTGTTTCTGCAAAAGGTTATGGGATTATCCCGATGATCTGGGCTATGATTTAAAATAAAAAAAAGCTTTAATAAACAATAAGCATCCTCTCATCCTCGGTGGACTCCACCCACGCTGTGTGACATTTGGGATTTGTTATCTGAATTTTTTCCTTTCCGCTACTGTCAGCATCTCGGAGCGCTGAGTGAGGATGTTGCTTTTCCAACAATCAGCACAAGTTTGCCTCAAACTTTGTTGAAGAGAATGGTCTGACTCAAAGCAATGAAGTCATTCATGACACATGTGTGAGGAGCCGCCAAGTCACACAGAGGAGAGGAAAGATGTGTTTGTTTGAGCAGGATTTGGCTTTTCTTTTTGAAGTCTCTGAGTGGAATTTGACTGAGGTTATTGCAGCACTTACTGCCTCGTACAGGTATAATTAGTAGCATAGAGTATTTTCTAATGTTTTCATTGAGCGCAATTTCAGTCATTCCTGCAAGATGTTACTAAAATTAATGCAGTGAGAATATTTGAAGAGAGTAATTTCTTCTCTGCTGACTCAGTTTGTCTACAAGAATAAAATAAATGTTGATTTGGATGGATGTTTTTTGCGAACTGTAATAATATAATTAATCAACATGATTCCTGACCAAAAGTAAAATGTGACTTTACGGTGTGTTACTAAATACCCATCATTAGCTCAAGTAAAATCTTGTCTGCCACCAACCCATCACACAGTGCTCGTTTTTATACTGTGTGACAGAATATAATATGAAGCTTCAACAAAACCAGTATTTATTTAACTTTGGGTGATGCCATTTACCCTGAGACACTGGAACAAACAAAGCTTTTTGGAAAATCAATAATGCAGTCACTCAACTGGAAACAAAATTAGAGAAAAAGGCCTGTAGGTATTTACACACTATACACTCAATACTTGAGTGATAAATAAAAATGATCTCATTATAACACACCCAGGAGTGAGTATATTTATGCCCCATCCAGCAAAACGCCCTAGTAACATGCAAGATTACGCTTGCATATGTTGTTCACCCAAAATGGGCCACTAGTTTTTGCACATTGTCAGTTAACTTCTGTGAAAGAGAAACGGGGAGTAATGATCATTATGAAATTAACATTAACCACAGAAGAGGTGCAGATTTTGCAATTAATACTGGCCCCCAGAGGATTGGGACAACTACATAATTAGCCTTTTGCGTGTATTCTTTATTCCACTCATGAAAACTGGACAGCTATGCCTCAGTTTTTGCAAAGTAAATATATCAACCTGCACTACACCACTGAACACACCCATTCTTCAACAGATTGTTCAGTCAAACATTTTGCTGACAGTATTATGAATGCTTCGGCAATTGAGATCTAAATAATGGGGACGTGAACGGTAAAGCTGTATCTTGTCAATCTTAATTTGTTATTCTTATTTGAAACCGTAGCACTAAATGTTTCCTGGAGAAGTTCAGCAGTTTTTTACAGCCTTTACTGACTTTTCCATGTAACAAGGCTGACATAATATTTACATAAAGTTGCCAAAATGAAGCCATGTGTTGCCATCCGTGTGCTGACAACCATCTCTTCACTTATAATTGTCAGCCAGCATTTTGACTCATAAATTCTCTGTATAATGAAATGGTATAACTTTTGTTTTTTTAGCTGCAAAAACACAAAGTGGGTAACAAATTAGAAATGTACCTTCAAATGTATTCCATGACAGCTCAACAGTCAGTCAGCCTTTTCGGTAAAATGTGCTCATTTGCTTTGTTTGAGAGTGCGATGAGTAGTGTAGGACATGCTTAGCTTAGCTTAACATAAATACTGGAGACAGGGAGAAACAGCTAACCTGGCTGTGTCCAAAGTTCAAACATACAGCTACCAACAACTCTAAAGCTGTCTTATTTTATGGCATGAAATGTAAAAATGACCATTTCGAATTTGTGTTACGTTTCGGAGCTATTTCTTGGCAAACAAGTGTGAGCTCAGGATTTCTGTGTGGCCTCTCCAGCTATAGGGCAGGATGGCAGGTGAAGTGAGCACAAGTTCTGGCTTGATGGTACCAAATTTGGCTGAATTCCATCAACACAGTCAAGCCAGTGTCCAAAAAAAACATTTCCTGCTCCAAGATGTGCATTAAAAAATGAGCTTCAGTCATGTCTACTGCAGTATTATACACAAGATATTAGTTAGCAGTAGACTTACAGTAATAAACCCTGCGTCAAATACAGACCTTGGTTAAATAATTATCAGTGTTTGTTTAACCAGCCCAGCATACCAGATGGTGATGTTGGCACAATGAACCATGTACGTGCAACAAGGTCTATCAGAAAGTCAATGTAAGACTGTTACGGATCCCTAAAGCAAAAAGTAGTTGTCTTTCTCTTGCTGAGTTCAAGACATTAACCTGTGACTCAAGGATACATTAAAGTCATTTTCCTTCAAGAAACACACTAATCTCTTGTACTGTTTGTAGTGAACAGCTGGGGTTTGTCTCATCTTTTACTGCCCCATCTCTAATGTTTTTCCATGATTTTTAGCATAAGGTCTGTCTCTTTACAAATGCATGAAAACAGTAAATTATGACATTTTTATGACCCTAGGTTATATAATGTCAAACAGTAGATTTGGTTAGCCATTTCTATAGCTTTTACTATTGATATGATACCAAATGTGAAAGAGTTTTTAATGTTTACTTTTGTCCATTGGTAGTTAACACAGAATATTTTCATGTTTTCACTCATATTTCCAACCTTGTCTTTTTCAGGGAGCTAAAGACCAAGATTGAAAAAGAAGACACCAAGAGAGAGCTGTTGGGCAACCAGAGCAGCCTGGCGGAGTCGCACTGTATTCGATGTCTTGAGCCCTTCAAGTTCCTGGTCAACAGCAAACGTCAGTGTCTGGACTGCCAGCTCTACATCTGCAAGTCCTGCAGTCGCTACAACAAGAAGGAGCATGGCTGGGTGTGTGATCCCTGTCGTATGGCCAGGTAGGAAATGACAAATAAAAAAATAAATAAACCTGTAGTAGGTTCAAAGTGAGGGCAGGAACATGGTCAAAGGGTGAAAAATCTGTGTCTCTTTCAGAGATCCATTTACAAAGTGTCAGGTTCTCTTTGGAAACAAAAAGGCTTTTTTCAATTTCACATTTCAGAGCATATTTGCTTAATCAGTAGGGGTTTGGCACTGGCCTGTTTTCCCATATTTAAATTGATTGAGTCTGGCATGGCTCCCAAACATTGCTTACTGATGACGTCACACATTATTATTATATTAACAGTTACTAAGCCATTTATTTCCTCTATTCTACCCTCACTTCATTATCATTTCTGTAAAGCTATTTGTATCTTGCCAGCCAGTCTTGACGTACAGCTCTTCAGTACAGTTCTACACTAAACGCTCAAATCAGAGGTTCCCAAACCTTTTTTGCCTCGGGAGCCCAATTTTGGTTAACATGTTTATGACCCCAGCTATTTAAAGATATTTCTTTGCTATCTGATACCCACAAACAGGTATGTTAGTATTTTAGTCCCTACACTTTTCCGGATGCTGACACGCATGTCAAAAGAGACAGTTGTGTTTGCATGTCATACGTGTGTGCATACGGGATTCAGTTGAGGGTGCACATCTAATCTCATCTGTCACATCTAGTCTGGACCAGTACCTTGATTTTTTTTGCAACAAAAGCACCAACTCCACCCTCACAGCTTTCAAAGGAAACCATAAGTTTTAAAGTGTTCAGTCTCTCTTGCAGACAGTCGAATGAGTCATTTACTCAGTCAAACTTTTTGCTAGCTTGGTAGCTTGCCATGCATCACAGGAAGTCTTGCTTACTTCACTGCAACTGCGTTCAGTGCCAGGCCATGCCACATAATTCAACCCCATTTGTACATCAGGGAAGCACATGTGAGGTCCTTACCCCAAGGATGCCCCAAATCATTTCTTTTTCAGTATACTTGAAACATGTATTCAGATTCAAGTTGTAATCAATGTGGTTCTACACAGTGGTGATGCTGCCTTTGCTGTGGCTTTTGAACTTTATTATTTATCTCTGTTGACCTGCCTGTGATGCTAAAGGAATGCAAATTACTTTTGAATGTTTGGCCTATTTCCACAGTGTTCCCAATTTATTTTATCTTTTACTGTAATCAGAAGCCATTAAAATAATGCTCTGTTTTAAAGCTACTGATGAAAGTTTGATATTAGAAAATAGCTTAATAAAATCCAGGTTTTTAATGCAATGTCTTAGTTTGAACACCTGGATGGTCAGTGATCTGTTTTTGAGCATAAAAAAGCACTTAATACATTTGTAAGCTCATGGCAGCTAGTGGACGAATACTTTGGTTTGGCAGCTCAACTGAGGGCTGAATAAATGTGCAGTATGTGAGTTATGTCTTTCTGAAACAGCCCAAACATGCTCAGTTGGTGGAACATAAATATCACATATTAGCTACACACAACTCTTTATGAATTCCTTCAGCTCTCCTGGTCCCTGTGGACATTCATTTAGCTAATTATCTTGACCAGAGCAACCCATGCTTACTGAGGGGTTAAAGGTTCTTGCTCAGGCTTTGACTGCACACACAGCATTTGATGGACGTTTGGCAGTTACTGGTCAAGTTTCTTTTGTTAGCAGCAGTAGAATTTAATACAACCAACTCATTCCAGCTCCATATGTTGCCATTATACCATTGTTTGCTCAGATGAGGCAGAACACTGAAAAACCCTTTCACTGAACTCTACCAGTGTCTGGAAAATATCATGCTATGCATCTCATGCTTAAACCCCGCAATTTAGTTTTTTCAGCATAGCAGTCAGTAATTTCTTGCTTTGTGTGACAAAAGAGGCATATTCAGTCTTTACTGTTTGTATTTTCTGTGATTATTTGTGACAGATCTGATCCTCTATTTCCTTTAACAGGGTGCTCAAGATCGGTACATTGGAGTGGTACCACGAAAACGTCCGTGCCCGCTTCAAACGCTTCGGCAGCGCCAAGGTGATGAGATCTCTCTTCAAAAGGTTGAGCGGAGAAAGCAGTTGCTCTCAGAATGACCTTGAAGGTGAGCAGTTCATTTTATGTTATCAAGCTGCTGTGCGTTGTTTTCTGTACAGAAATTATATGTGGCGCTACTAAACTGGTTTTTGAAACATTTAGGTTTCCCCAACATAATGCTTGCCATGAAAAGTGACTTTAATACTTCTGTCTGGAATGTTTAAATCCTTGATCCACTTGTGAAAAGCATAAGTAGTACTAGATTAGATAAGTAGATGATTAGCACACCTTTACCTAACAAATATAGTTAGTTTGGCCTTTTAGCAAAGAGATTAACCCCACAGCAGCTGACTGAAGCTGCTCAGTGGTCAACAGTCAAAAAAAGTTATGCTAGGCAGCTGTCAAGTGGGGATCTGCAGCCTGTATGAACGTGAAGCAGTGCTAATCAAAGGTTACAAATGTGTTAGAATGACAGGTCTCAGGTCAAGGTTACTTTTAAGGGACAACCCTAACAAATTTCCATCTGTTCCACTCATTTCTTTACAAGCCCTCAGGAGGTGCTGCAGGTCAGAAGTTGAGTCTGCCAGAGAGCATTGCTGGAACTTGAGCTTACCATAAGAAATCCTCAATAAATGAAAAGCTTCAAGGAGATTCAACAGCTGCATTCTGTACTGTAACTGCATGGAAAATATGTCTCAGCATTTAGAATCACACTACGGCATCTGAAAGTTTGTGAAACGCATTCAGCGCGTATGTGAATTGTGTCAAGTTCAAGAATCGGACTGCAATAATTCTTAGTATTTCCCATATACTCCCTGTGAACAGCAAAAGTCCAAGCAAGTACCACAGATATTATCCTGCTGAATGCTACGCTATTAACCAAATCTCAACCCAATGGAACACATATGGGAGATCAGAACAGTGCTCATCATAAAAAACATACCAAATTAGGAAATGTTACTTGAAACAATGACAGGAGCAGATATTTGGAGAGCGTCAAAGGTACTCTGGAAGCTCCTGGTGGTCCAACACCTTGCTAAGTCACGTACAGGTCCAGTGTGTAGGATTTAGTGGCATCTAGTGGTGAAGCTGCAGAATGCAACTAACTGAACACCTTAAGTGTCTGTATTTAACAGCCTAGGAGTGAGAACATACTGTGGCTAAGCAAACGAAAACACAAAGATTCCTATGTTGAGATGATTATACACTGAACTTGAATATTATATGCCATTTTGTCAATACATCCTCCTAAATGTTACGCACTGGACCTTTTAATTTTTCACCCATCTGTGTATGAGACCCTTCATTTTTGTGACACTGAGTCACAAGAATGAAGTTTCCTGTCTCAGATAGTAAGCAATCATCAGGAGGCTGCCAAATCTGTCACAGGGATTTTTATCTCTTCCATCTTTCCTGTTTTTCCGGCTCTGGCTCCTCACAGCTGTACCGAGTGCTGTCACAGACTAGTATCTCGGGCCTGGATACAGCTCGGCACCAGGTCCTCCATTGTCAGGCTTTTGTCCTTATCTGACCAGTGTACTCGGAAACTCATTTCCACTGACATTTCCACAGCCTACTGTACCTCTGCAGACATTACTACCAGAGACTCTAATGTGGTAACAAGTCCTGTTTATGTTTGCTGCTCGTGTTTAAAGTCTGATGCAGTGACGGTATGAGGCTTCATCAAAACCTTTCCAGCACTTTTTGCTCTACTTTTGAAGTTGCTCACACAGCATTGCCTCTATCCTCTGGCCACACCCAGAGCATATAAAACAAGTGCCCTTGGAGCACAACTGTATTTCAGTTTTAAGCATTATTATACACAGCAGGTCTCCAAGTGAGATCATAGCATCAGGAGATCAATGAATTATGAGGAGGCAGCCTGGTACTGCTTACGCTGAGTCACCCTCGAGGATTTTGGGAATGGATACAGAGCAAGTTGGTTGGCTGGCTTAGCCCAGCGGGCCTTGTGATCATCCAGTCACATGTCTCCCATTCTGCGCCTGGGGCCCTGCAGCTCTCCACCGACCAGAAGCAGGGAGAGGGATAGAGAAAGAGGGTGGGAGAACAAAACTTCTGTTTGTCATGTATTTATGTAGAATCTAACCGTCGGAGCGCACACAGATGCAAGCTGTAGTTATGAAACACAGTCATAAATATGCATGTTAACAGATGCATTATGTTTAAAAATGATCGGCAACTCATCACATTCATGTGACCACATGGATTGAATTCAACATGCATGACTGTACTCACACACACACACACACACACACACACACACACACACACACACACAAACACACACACACACACACACACACACAGAGAGAGACAGATGCATTCTTTTGCTGTCTTTCTTTCTGTATGTTTTCCGCTGTGGTCCGTTGGGCCCCCAAAGCTCGGAGGGTGTCATCCTATGTGTCTTTGTGCACACTGGGAGATGTAACAGTGATTCTTACAACAGAGTCTTTGTTCACATACGTTGCATATAAAAGGAGTTCAACTCAGTTACTTGGCTAACCCCAGCTCCTCAGTTTAATGGTGCTACTGCTGCTTCGGATTATTATTTTATGTGGAAAGTAAGGACTACCTGAATTATCCCAATTTGCAGAGCTATTTATTATAGTTACATAATGGCAAAATTGCAAACCTCATCTCAGTCATTTTCATTGTAGGAGACAAGAGTGAGAAGGATAAATTATATGAAACATAACTAAATAAGCAACGTCTTCTTTCATCTTCTCTGTTTTCCAGAGACCCATGAGTATGACACACACCACAATGAGTGCACTAAACTAAATGACTGATCCAAATCATAGGGAGAGGTCAGATATTGTTGACAGACACATACATGTTTTGATTTAAATGCATCCTTCTTTCCCTTTTATTAACAGTTTGGTGCTTTTAACCTTCTTACCTCATGTAACCTGAGAACATTTCTGCAGTCTCGCTCGGTGAGACTGCACTTAAGACACAGGTGAGCGTTGAGCTGTCGTCATTAGTGTAGCAGGTATTTCAATCCCTTCAGGAAGTTAAGATGTTGCTAGTTAATGCAAATTCAGTCAACCTAGTGAATTCTAACTGTAACAAAATTGCAGACCATGCAGACATTTGCAACGCGGACATCTTACAATTTCCTTGAAAGGCTTTTCAGTAACGTTTCTTGGAGCTTTCCACGCTTTTGTACAATACCAAAAATTTTTTTTTTTACAATTTTTGCAATTTTCCCTCTTTGTCCCTCAATATCATTGCAATTTTCAACCGACAGACATTGCCATCTCTAGAGCCAGGTTGCCAGCCTAATAAAAAAAAATTAAATAGATGATTTACTGTTTTCTTTAGGGGACTTAGACTCTTGACGCATGGCTACAGCCCTGGTCACACATTTTCAGTTACTTACACTGATTTTCAGACATGTTGGAGTCATTTTCAGTGGATCTGGGTGGTCAAGGCTAGATTAGGTAAAACAGGGGGGACTACCACATCCACAGGGGTTTCGAAGGCCCCATCTTTGTGCTAAATGGTTTGTGGCCGTTTGATTAATTGGAAATTTGTTTGGGAATATGCATTGCAAAACGTTTTTACCGGGGGTCAGTTTGAGCCCACACATTGTTTTTTACCCCGAGGCCCCTTTGAGGCTTAATCCAGCAATGTGTGTGGTCTGACTTAGATCCACTTGGGAGTCACATTAATGTTTAAAAGTAGTGTACTTACAATAAGAGGTAGCCAGACTGTTCAATTATTTGTAAACAGATTAACACTGTAAATCAGGGTTATTTGAAAATATAATCTCAGTATAAAATATTCATTACTGGCCTATTAAACGGATCCATTTGGTAGTTGGAGTTTTGAACTTCTCATATAGTGAGTACAGTGGTTTGGGAACAGACCAGAAGGGTCTGGTTAGGCTGGTACAGTCAGCGCTTGCCTGGCTTTTATTAATATTGGCATATCGAGAGTAGAAGAGCAGAGCCAGGGAAGTTTTAGTCAGGGAAGGGTCAACAAATCATTAGAGGGAGTTCTTACTACTAATATATCATTATCATTAGAGGTAATACTAAAAGTTGTTCTAATGGTGTCTTTTGTGTCACATGTTCTCTGCAGTGCAGTAACTGTTGTTGTCGTTGTTCTGCATGAGCTTTTCACTTTGTCTGCTGATCTGGCGAGCTCACTCTTGAACTTTTGCTTCTCCCTGCAGCTTTTCTTGTTCCCCATCGGTCCTTCCTCTCTCTCTCTCTCTCTCTCTCTCTCTCTCTCTCTCTCTCTCTTTCTCTCTCTCTCTGTAAGAGGGAATTGTTACTTAGAGATGCAACAAACCAACATATACAACTCTCATAAAGAGGTGCTGAAAACACACAGTGTTCCTTCCTGTTGCCTCCCAGCACTGCAGATGGAAATAGAAAAAAGCACTTGATTTGTTGCAAGGCGTACAGTGTTCCCCCTGCTGCAAAGACAAAAGGTCATGGGTAAGAGTGACCCAGCGGGTGTGAAAGAGGTGTTACTCTCTACTCATGATGAATGTAGTTTGCATAATGTGACTGTGAGGTTTGCTTACACAGGAGAGTCATAAATGCACGCTTTAGGTCAACGCTAACATGCCTGCCTTCTTTATCAGCAGATGGATATGAGGAGCACAGTATGGACGGCACAGATTCACAACACTACAAAGGGGTAATTCATTTTATTTTTATTATTTTCTCTTACGATTGAAGCACTTGTACACGTGTGCTTCTTTCTACTTTGTTACTAATGCTTAATCTCTGTTTGCTCTGTTGAGGACAATAAATAAATAGACATCTTGCAGCTATTTCGTCGGCACTTAAGTTTTAGTGAGTTTGTGGCCAGCAGGAAGCACTCCAGTGATATGCATCATAAAACAAGAATCAGATATCAATTTGTTTTCAGCAGAGCGTTTGTTAGTTCTGGTGATTTTTACTGCTAATTTATGTTGAGACTTGGACATGTGGAAGTAAACAACGCTCAATTCACTTCAGTTCTGTTGATTTGTTTCCTGCTTCTTCATTATAAAGGTTTTTAGTGAGGGAAATCAAAGCAGATCTGCAAAAACAGGCAGTTTCATTCAAGTCAGCATTTGTGCACTCAACAACTTGACACCGATGTATGCGATGCTGTCGGGTCAGAAAACAGTGCTTGTCTGCACGGGGTTATCTATGTGATCTAGGTCAGCCCTCAAGAGCAACTGGAATGCTTTAACAGCTAAGGTACGGTCAAAACCAGCGCTAGCAGCGGTGTATTGTGGGTAAATACCAGGCTGTCATGCATCCACATACACACACACACATAATCCCAGTCCGAGCAGAGTTGAAAGAGACTCTGGTTCAAGTCCTGAGATTGTTAAAAAAAAAAAAAGGGGGGGCACTGAGGCCACTGGAATTCATCATAAAACCAAAACTACTATTGTTTACACCACAGTCTCTGTGTAATGTGGGAGCTAAGCTTTGTTTATTTTCAATCACTGCAGCCGCTGCTGAGTAGAAGAAAATGTTGACGGGACTCTTGGGCTCTCGCGGGTCTGTGGATGCTATGTCTTATTTACATCTTATATGATTGGACTTTTGATGGATGTTATAAAAAAAAAAGACAGACTTACAGGAAAGGCCAAGTGGAGCTTCCCCCTGCATCCCTCGTTTGATTTTTCACTTCGACAGAGTGCCCTCTACTGTTTCAAATAGAGTACTGCCTGTTGAAACACCCCAGGTGTCAGAAACACAGAGCTTGTATCTGGGTCTTTAAAAGAAGTCCCTGTCTTTCTACTCACACAGCCAAACAGCATGTTCCCCTCATGTAACAACATTACATTTAAAGCTGCAGTAGGTAGATTTTCTAAGAATAACTTTTTATCTTATTTGCTAAAACATTTCACTATAGCCTGATAGTAGTGCACAACACAGATAATCCATGAGAAAAACAGCTTCCTCTCACTCCTCCTTGTGCTCCTAACAGCATTTGCAAGAATCTACCTCATCTGAAGGAAAACAACCAATCAGAGCCGAGAAAGATAGTTGATTGTTGAGTCTGAATTAAAAAATATTCTTTCTGCTGCACATAAAAACAGATTGTTAACCCGTTTCCCAAGTTGTCTCTTATTATTAATTATATTGGCATGTATTGATGTTATTTTCCGATATTTTCATACAAAATAATTTATATTGCTTGCTGCTTGTGTTTTGAAAAATAGCACGTATATGTGTCATTTCTGGCTTTTTTTCAAGCTCGAGTCGTCTAATAAATGCATACAGAACAGCACTAAGTGGTGTGAACCTTTTTAAAATGATCCACATACAGTAGGCCTGTTGGGTTTTTTTTGGATGAGGATTTCACTTGGGGTCGAATCCTTTCTTTTCTCTCTTTCTTACCTCTCTGCTCTCTCTTTTGGTGACGGTGTTTTTTTCCCCTTTTCTGCTCTCCGAAGATGAAAAAGGCCAAAAGGCGGCTTACCGTCGATCCCATTGATTTCGAACTGGGCTGCGACTACTCTATCGAATCAAGAGGACGGTCAAATCAGGTAAAGGATGGACAACCCCAGAACCAACAGCTCCCCCCCTGCCCCCAATGCCCCGCCCCGACTGAAACCAGACTAATCTGCATGCCTTCATACAACGGGCCTCTGTCTGTTTCTTCTTTAGCTTGTTTCTGTTTTCTTTCTCTGCCAAACGTTGTCTGGTTCGGCGAGACAATATTACATAAGTGTCGAGCACTGTCATTATTCATTCTCGTATCTGGCCACAATACACTGGTTGTGTACATCCAGATTCTGCATGCTTGCGTGCGCAGACACTAACATGTATTGTCAGCTCATTAACACAATGAACATTTCACAGAATATAAAGGGACTCAAGACATGAAACCAAGCCAACTGTGGCTGTATCATTTGGGGAACATGTGAAAAATAGACTCTGAAAAATGAACCAGAAAGTAAAGAAATTAAAAGTTTGGACGTGCTGAGACACTAAGACACCAAACTAATGCCAGTAAACATCAGTTGTAATTGGAAACTTAGCTAAATATAACATAATTCACTTGCTGTGCCACCACTTTATTATTTCACTGTCACCCATTATTGTCTTTGCTTAATTAGACTATTTCTATTACTTATCAAAACTGATATAATTTGCATGCAGAGTATGAATAGGAATATTTTACTGTAGCTGGTAACTTCATCTACTTAGTAGTCACAAGTGTAAATGCAATAACTCATTTTGGAGGTACTTTTATCATCTAAAACTAATTCATGTAGCTTTGAATGAATGTGAAGCAAACAAATTTTAGAATTTGCCAATTATTGTGGCCAAACTTTGTATTTTTCTTACAATTTTTCTGACAACCCCAATGTCTCCACCCATGCACCATCTTCCACCGACCTACCGAAGTCTGAAACACATTAGCTCCTTTGCTAATGCATGCAAGATTTCTCCCAGTAGCACTCACCACTCTCCGTCCTCGTTCTCAGACCCCGGTGTCCCAGGACATCATGGACATGGACGTGGGTGTGAGAGAGTCGATGCTTGCTGAGGCTGACATGGCCTCGGTTTTCCAGCAGATTCTGGAGGAGCAACGCGAAGTTCTGGAGCTGGGAATGGCGCCACAGCAAGGTAAAGAAAGGACGAAACACAGCTGAATGGTTTCGACAAACTGCTGGATAAAAACAGCATGTACACAACCCTTCTATCACAGGCGCATGTTGAGGAACCATTCTGCTGAGTTAGTGACAATGTTACGTATGAGATACAAGGCCTAGCTCGCTATAATGGAGCTCCACAACTTTAAAGAATTGGCATTACTTCCTTAAACATGAAATTCGGCCACTTTTCCACATGATAGCATCATTTTCTGTCAGCACTGGTTAACTGGCTACAATATATACCAATGCTTGCTTTACTAAATTAGCTACAATTCAAACTGTGCTACATAAGCATTACTATGGAATCACACAGGCTAGTTATTAAACTTGTTAACGCTGAACGTAACCTGCACCAAAATCATCTTTTTAAGCTGTTATGCAGCCACAATAACGAGTTTTGACTTAACTTAAATGTGGAAACACCCCCTCGTATTTTCTCCAGATGACCTTACGTACCCAGACAGCCGAACTATTCCATCTCGCTCCATCTCCCGGCTCAGCTACTCTTCATGTGGCAGCGGTAGCGCCTGGGGACCCCGGAGCAGCAGCAGCTATCTGCCCGGCCCTGACGACTCGGAGGGGGAGGATGACCACGGCCAGCCCTACCCTCTCTACCAGTCTCATCTGCGCCCCTGCAGCCACACCTCCCAGGAGAGCCTTAACTCAGCAACCCCTGCGCCACAGGTCTTTTTAAAGAAATCTTTCATCTTTAAATCATTATATATCATTAATTAGGCACTTTTGGGACACTCATAAATCCAGTTTTAATGTTTTTCACATTGTAATAACGTCAGTAGAAGGTTTTTATTCTGTGGGATGAGGAAGGTCTTTGGGTTCATTATATATTTGGCCTGCAGTCCTCACCCCTTAACACACTGTGAATTAGAGATGTGACAATTACAATATCCAACTTTCTTACGCAATGAATTCCCATCACCGCACGTATATTCTGTCTGATATCAATCAACTTTATTGACGTATATACAAACCATATGGCTTTTAACAATGGATTATAAAAGTTGATTGTTTTTTGCTTGGCACAGTTTAAAAGAATTTTAGACCAAGAGACACTAAAAACCAAATAAACATTCAAAAGGGTGGCTATTATTTAGATTTTTTTTTACTATTTTTTGCTTTACCTTATCAGAAGAAGAAACAATGTGAAAAATGTCCCAAATGGTATAGCTCAGAGCTCAAGTTGAGAGGAATTTGCTTCCCCTGTTTAGGTTGTAAGAAAAATGCCTAGTTTGGCACAAACTCTCTGCACAATAATTAATCATGCTTTCACATGTATTAGCAAACAAACTGATTTTCCTTTTATTACTCTAGGTCTTTGTAGCAGAAAACACACAAACACGAGTTCATCGGGCTGACACACTGAGTGATGTTGGGGCAACAGCTGCTAGATCAGAGGGAGCTTACGTACATTACATCAGTGTCTATTTATGTGTCAGCATACAAGTCAGTCCCTGGAAAGGATCGCAACAACTGTTCACTGGGAGCAGATAAAAAACAGACTGTGTTTACCATTAATTTGACTTATTAGTGGGAGGACAGAAATCAATACATGTCTACATGTGTCCTTGTGTGCCCTCTGGGGGGGTTGAGTTCATACGGAAGCGTATTGATGCCATGCCAGTAAAAACTATATTAGGATATTTTTCACGATATAACAAGATGTTTTTATTACTTATATAATATTATATATATTTAGAAGTGGGTATACTGTTAATTTACACTCAAACTCTTGTGTATTTCACCCAAAAATGGTCCATTGTAGCTTAAATTCTGCTGCTTGTCTTTCAGGAGTATAGATCATTATCAGGTCAGGTCTTCTTTACTGGCCTGATCTGGATTGTAGAAAAATGTCTCTCTGTGGATTCAAATGAATGATGGACTTATACAAGTATTAATCATACTGGTTTAAATAAACAGTTTGATAGTATTGGTAGTAATTAAAGGCCTGTCCCATACAGAGGCCTGTTCCAAATATTGGCAGATTGAGTTCAAGGATTAAAGGAAAACAAAAGCCTGGGCTATTAATTGAAGTTAATCATTAATAATTACTCCATTCAGTCATGAAAATAGGACAGCTATGTCACGCCTTCGCCATCCTAGGCTTGCAGAACTGAATTATTAAAGTTATGACGTGTTGTGGTATAATAATAGATATAAAATAATAATAATAATAGAAGTTATTGTGTTAAAATATCTTGAATTTGAAAAGCCTTTTTTCTTATATAAACTTTCCACTATATAACATGACACTGAGATGCTTTTATTTTTGTGGCATGGCAGCAATGCGCCGTCCTAGATTCAGACACAGTGTGGAGGTTAATGTTGAATTATTGAGGTATAACTCGGATAATCTGAATCAAAATGTGTTTTTTGTGGTCATTAAAGATAAGAAATATGAAAACAAATTAAGTTAAGAAAGGGGAAAAAAAGGCCCTGATGTTATCAGTCCCACCTGGCTGTGCTGGTCGCCACCTTTGATATCTCGTGTCATGGCAGCTTTGTCTCACAGCTGGACAACAGGCCAGGAGACACAAACAGGACACCGACAGCCCAAACATGTGCCTGTCAGACATCAAAAACCCACCGTGATAATCCTCATTGGCTGTGAGGTCCGAGCTCAACGCAGACACCGGTGACTCATCGGGGTCTGTCGCGTCCTGACGGTTCTGATTCCAATCTGGAAAACATTTCGAGCCACTGAAGCGAGGTTGAAAGCTAAGTGACGTATCCGATTTTGATCGTGTTTGTGGAACAAGACATCACGATGAGTCAACAAGCACAGACTGTGTACAGGCTCAGGGCACATGTGGGGCAGACAGGGTGTCGAGCAGCCTTCTTCTTTGAGGGACCCCTTTTTCTATCATTTAGCAAACTAAGTGACATATTTTATGGAGATCTAATATTGTATGCAACAGTGAACTCAGTAACTGCAAGACGTCTGTGTAAAACAAGTGGTTTGGATGAATTTTGAGCAGATTATTTCCTATTTAAGGAACTTTTTATGCAATTCTTTGTCTGTATTATGTATTTTTTATCATTGTTAACAATCATACAGACTTAATACGTTTCTTTTTGGACAGATTCAGTGTTTAAAATGTACAATTTACTTTAAATATATTTTTCTTCACAGAAGTGACCCAAAAGCTGAGATATAGGCCTAATGTGTTTTTATTTAGTTTTCTCGCATGCCTCAAAATCACTGTGCATCGTCACCACGTTTTGCACATAACATGACATAGCGTAAAGATAGAAGACTTAGCTTTCCGTCATGCTCTAGCTATTGTAGTTTTTATTTTTGATGTATTTAAACAGGATAATGCAAAAAAAAAAAAACGGCTGCCCTGTGGGAGGAACTGTTTTAGCTATAGAGACTAAAAACTTTTTTACACGAGTCTGTAAACAAGCCTCAAGTGGCCGTTCGTGGAACTGCAGTTTATTTTATTTTCTTCTGGTGTGTTGGGTTCTGAAACAAGGATGACCTACATTCAAAACTCAGCTTGAACACATTCCTGTGCAGACAAAGACAGAGGGCTGAAAATAATGGGCTTCTCACGCTACGTGTTTGTCCTGTCTAGACACAACGCGAACATCTCAATGCATCCAATCATATGTCGGCGGAAACAGCCCTAAATTCAGCTGATCTGGTTATAGGTTAGGATAAGGTTAGGAATAGTGTCGTAGTCTGAGAGGAGCTATTGTCTGAGATGCACAACTCAGGGCAAAGAGGTTGCTTTCACATCAAAGATATGTCTGACTGTCTGCTTGACTTCCGGAGTTGAATATGACTTATTGCATTATAACCCGTCATCCAAAGGAAACGTGCCTTTTATTCCACTCGTGCAAAAGATAAACTAAATATACAGCATCATTTCTAGGAGATTTTATTTTTTCTCCCTGTCGACATTTATTTCATCAAACTGATTTCAGAGAGGACCCTCTCAATTATTGTGGAATCAGATTTGGGGATGAGGTGATTTGGCTCAGAGCTCAGACTCTGATGAAACCATGTGAAAGTGCAGCATGGACTTTATTAGGAGAGTAATTAATTGAAGGCCATCTGTATTTGAAAGCCCTATTTCTGGGTCAATTTGTTTTTTGATTTGAGTGAAAGTGGTATCATATGAAGTGCAGAGAGTGTTGTCAACAGTCCCATGTAAACTGAACTGCAGTGTCTTGTATCTTGTTTTAAAGAAACTATCCATGTTCCTTCCTTCTATGCTTCTGCTATCCTTCGATCATTAATCTGCTTAGTTGTTAATTATATTGAAACAAAAAATGTTTGTCAGTGACACTGACGAGCTAAAAATAGATCTTTGACAGTAAAAACTATGACGAAATGTTTGTTTTGGTTAGCAGACATTTTAAAAAATTATATAATTTTCCCCCAATAAGACCCCCTTTATGTATAACTGTAACGCTGCTTTGTCACTTGACCGGCCCGCCAAAACCCGTTATACACCCCGCTCAGCCCGGGTCCTGTGGGTTGTGAGTATTAAAAGTGTTAATTAAGATAGTAAAACACTTGATACTGTCACCTTTACTACTATACTTATATCCTATATGGCCTAATTAAATTAGTTTAACTTTTCATTGACTAAAACTGGACTTAAATGTTATGTGCTATCGTCCACTAAAACAAGAATAATACAATGAAGGATGTGACTACAACTAATAAGCATTTTCATCCGAAAGACTAAGACTAAATGTAAAATAGCAGCCGAACACTGGTTAACTTTTCTTTCTTCATTATATCTTCATCATCTGACTGCAGCCTCTCTCTCTCTTTCTCCAGATCACTGACCTGAACAGACGCATGTCAGCCATTGAGACCCTCTTGAACCACTTAGAGCAGAAGGTCACCTCAACATACGACCAGGTAAATCCATTGAAACGCACAGAATCATCATCATCATCATCATCAAAAGGAGGCTCTGGGAATTACATGAGCAGGCGAACAAAAAATATTCAAAAGGTTGGCAAGAACATGTTTACATATAGCGTACATAGCCACAGCAACAGGCACTCTGACTTTGTTTTCAGCTATGACATAAAGTATAAACCAACATACTGATGATAAATGAGTATGCAACAAACATTTGGTTTTATTAAATGAACTTTTACTGGACACAGAAAGAAACAACGTCCCGTTCCTCAGACTGCGCTCTGCATTCATACTCTTTGCTGCACACACACAGCTGATGTTAATTCAAGTCTGTGAGGACTGAGGGGGGATGTATAGCCTGCTGGGATTTGGCCTTAACTTCACAGAATACACTGTTGATGACCCCTGAGTGACTGCCATGTTTCCATATGGATGCTTATGGCTGTAGCTTAACATTCATCACCTGTCAGGAAATGCAGATATGTGCACACCATATGATGTGTGACGGTCTGCTCCATAGGCTACTTTTTATTTCTTTCTAATTCATCCTGCTGCTCGCAAGTTGGTGAAGAGTGAACAGTGATATTTATTAGTCAGCTAGATGAAATCATTGTTGGTTTTGGTCTATTTAAGGATCTCCTCCAGACATGTATTAATGTGTCTGATATGTTTTTTTCCACAATTTCCACATTAAAATCCTGAAAAATGAATCAACTCCTTCTACCTCATTGAAAATAAATGTACAAATTTTGTTAATTCTCAGTGTCTTTGCACTGGTGGCTTTACATTTTTTTTACGTCACACTTGTATAGGTTGCATACTGGACCAGCCTTGACTTTCAAACTATTTGTAATCAAATCATCTTCATAAAATCAGACTTTCAGTGAACACAGAGAATCTTTTCACTTTCAGCAGATGAATGTGAAAACATTCTTCTAGTGTAAAAACTGTGCACAGACATCATTCAAACAGCACTAATGACCTATGTGTGAAGTGAAAGGGGTTGCTACTTATGACAACCCCACAGAGAATTATCACCTGACTGCAGTTCTACAGAGCATTTTTAGCATCTTTCAGCTCATTGTTTAAAAAAAAAAAAACATACACCAATGCAGCGATCAACAGTTCAGTCTTGTGAACGTGGCCTTTCTTCTAACCTGCTGGTAAAGCTAAACGTGACCTGTGGGTTTATTCGAGTGTTTAGCTTTCAGAAATGTTTCTGTGCTAATAATGAGGCATTTTATGTGCAGCTCATTGTTCAAGCATTCTGATAATGAAGAGCGGCACACACTCCTCATATCCATCCTCCTCTCATCAACAGCGGTGTCTCATGTGGGTTTGGTGTCTGTTTTTAATTGGAACGTGAGCCCTGAAATCCACACCAATATCATCAGATGACATGCCAACCCACAAAAACAGCAAGCCGTAAACAAACATAGAACTTCAGCTCGCCTGGTAATTAGTGGCTGTTCGCCTTTCGAATGAGAGCAAAATGTGATAGACTCATGCTTTTTCCTCTTTCTTTTGGAAAACCACAACTTAAATCAATTCAGCACATGTTTTTTGCCAGTTTTGTCAGAGTCTGCACGCAGCACGTCCCGTGTTAATGTCCGTCTGATTACCATAGTAACAGGAGAGTTGTGCTTTCATGCATCCAGGCGGTCTTCTAGACGTGCTAGTTCCTGTTTAAGATCACAGGCGTGTCAGTGGCGTGGTGGGTGGAGGAGCTTTGGCCAAGAACTCCCTTCTCTTTGGTCTACCTCACAAATACCTCCATAAACTTCAACTGGTTCAGAACTGTGCAGCTCGGATCATCACCAGGACCCCCTCCATCCACCACATCACCCCTGTTTTGCAGCAACTCCACTGGCTCCCGGTCAAACTCTGCATAGACTTCAAAATCCTCCTGTTTACGTTCAAGGCCATCCACAACCTTTCCCCTCCTTATCTGTCCGATCTCCTCCAATCGCCACCCCTTCCCGTTCCCTCAGATCTGTCTCCTCTGTCCACCTCTCTGTCCCTCCCGCCCGCCTCGTCACAATGGGGAGCAGGGCATTCAGCCGCTCTGCCCCCCGACTCTGGAACTCACTTCCATCGGACATCGGGAACCTGGACTCTCTCCCCCTCTTCAAATCAAGACTAAAAACTCACCTATTCAGAACTGCATACCCCACTTAACTATCTACATCGTCTTTTTCCTGTCTGGTTCTTATTTCTTACTATTTTTTATTTTTATGTATTGTACGGTGTTCCTCGAGTGCCCAGAGAGGCGCCTTTAAATAAAATGTATTATTATTAAGATGCATTGTGCAGAAAGCAGGTGCAACACAGGACGACGGTTTATTGCAGTCAATCGCACACAGGCAACTGACCTCGCTAACACTACTGTTGCTAGTTAGTTAGTTAGTTAGTTTACAACCATACGGAGCATTGGCACCAATACCGGCTTATTTTTTACTGGATTTCTAAATAATATTAATCAAAAATGAACCTGCTTCTACTTTTTATCACCTGTGTGTCAGCCCTGTTTCATGTGAGGTAGAAATTATACTGTCCACAGCGACGTTGTCTCACAGAAAATGTAATCGAATCTACTGCGGGGGTCCTTGACGTGAATAAGTTTGGGAACCTCTGCCCATCTAATCTGTTTGTCCTGAACGTTGCCTGCTTTTGCTCACCCAATCACTCATTTTAAGTCAAACAAAAACACACATTATTAACACACGTATTCTCTGCTCTGTTCCTGCAACCCAACCAGGCTCCTCCGACTCCAAACAGCACCTCTCCTCTTCCTCAGTGGGAGGAGGTGGACCTAGAGGAGCAGCAACTCAGACAGAAGCTGCAGGAGATGACGGACAACATCAGTGACCACAGCCTGAGCTCGGATGAGGACGAGCCCAGCAGGCCACACTCCTCCCAAGAGATCCCAGCATGGAGAAGCCCAGAGGGGGAGGCCAAGCCCTCTAGACTGCCTACCAGACCCACATCCAGAACAAGCATCATAATCTCCAGACTTGAGGAGGAGCAGCCTCAGCAGGTAGAGATCTCTGTGGCTGAGGAGGGTAAAATTCTGTGTTCTTATGCAAGCATTCTTACTTGGATTAACACTCAACAGAAAGTTCATTAGAAACAAACTGCACATCTGGATTGTTGCACTTAAAAAAAAAAAACCCAAACAGCAAGGCTCATGAAATCCCATACCACCTCTGCTGGAATCCAGTTCAGGCACATACTGCAGTCATAAATCAAGTCACTCAGCCTTAGCGTTTATTTTTCCTTTGCAACCATTTCTCCAAGATTTTCTAAAACACAGAATTGACTTGAAAAATAGCTCCTTCTTCAGTTAGTCTGCTAAGTTGCCTGAACTGTTTTCACTGGCATTTTTTCCCCTTTAAAAGTAACAGAACGAACAGTGCTCTGGTGAGTAATGATATTCTGTTTTTTTCACATAACTTTAGTATAGGATTGTTCAAACTGCAATACCCTCTCTTAAGGATTTAAAGTATCACATAACACTAACTTGTACAAGCAGGAAAACAGAATCTGATAACGCTCTAACTCGTGGAGCTGCCTGTTTTGTTTCCATTGTGACTAAAGGGGGCAAAGGTCAATGTGTTTTCTGTTCTGCTTATTATCAAACCAAATGGCTTTTTCTGACCCACTGACTATAGTGAGTTATGAATGACAACCTGCCTCTACAGGATATGCTGTTTATGGAAGAGTGAATGTTGCTGTTCATATAATAAAAGCTCTTCTAGACTTTCAAAATGTTACCACGACTGTGGACGCCCTGGTAGCTCCCCTGGTAGAGCTGTCGCCCCATGTACCAAGGCTGAGTCCTTGCTGCAGCGGCCGTGGTTTCGACTTTGACCTGTGGCCCTTTGCTGCATGTGATCAAACTCTTACCGAAGCCAGTCAAATGAGAAAAAAACATCTTTGACCTCGAGAAAATCCTCCTGTGCCGTTTAATTGCTCTTCTTTCAGTGAAGTAATTCTCTCCAGTTCTGATACAACTGATGCATCTACACTAACCTCTTTAGCAGCTGCCATTGTTGTCACTCCTCACACCGTGCCACACACATCTAGCGTTAAACCACACCTGTAGCTCATGCTGTAGCTGCCAGCAGTTCCTCAGAGGACGCTGATTTGTCTGTAACTAACTGTGTTCAGATACATATCCAGCAGCCTTGCAAGGTTAATAAAATGCCCCACCACCCCCACAAAAAAGAAAATTCTCAATCAATTTTTGATGTGGCAAAACAAATCAGCAATTATTTTAAATTTGTCCCATTTCTGTTGTAGACATATCTTTCAACAGAGAGCCTGGAGAGGAAATTGCACCCCCTGGAGGAGGGACCAAAGGAAAGCTTCAAAGGCTCAACAGCCTTACTGGTGGAGCTGGAGGACAAGGTAGCACAAGCAGCTGCCAACGTCCAGAACGCCCAGAGTGAGGTAAGAAAAAAATATATATTATATAATATACTTGCTTAAAAGAGATAGAAACAGTAGAAGCATCAGTCACTTTCTCTCTTTTTACCTCAAGGTCTCTTACATAGAGAACAGGATCGCTGCCCTGAATGCTGCTGGCATGCCAGTGGATAAAAGAAGAAGGGTAAAGATATTTAACTACCATTGTCATGATTATAAATGTTTGTTTATATTAAATACGTTTCATATAGTGTGAACTCAAACAATTGCACAGGTAGAGCTGTTCTAATGGGATAATGGACTTGACTTGGTGGTCTTGGATATGACTCCCAGTTCTTGCCCACTTAGATTCAAATCAACCAATAAGATCATTTCTATTCCCTAAGCAGGTCTGTCTCTGATAAGTGTTTCTACACTCCATAGTGCCAAGAAAAAGGCTGATCAGTCATATATTTTCCCACATTCTCACTTTTTGCTTTTCTGTTTGTTTCCCGCTTTGGTGTCTTCCAGTCTGCAATCCCGATCCAAGCAAGAAGACTTTCCCACAACTTTCCCACAAGTAAGAACTGACACTGCTGCCCTTGAGAATAATCCCCAGGGCCTTTTTCGACTGACTCAAAACATCTTAACCTTGTTAAACTCAGAGAACACGATGATCTGTTTTGTGAGTCGGTGAACACTGAGTACTATTGTACTACAGCTTCAGTTTTCCCATCTGTATGTCAGATACTGAAATTTCTCCACATGCAGGATTCCCACAAGCGTGCTGTTCTATAAACGGTAGAATTTATTTTGAATAGGAGTTATAAAATAATAAATAATAAATAGTTTTGTTGGCCACTTAGAAGCTCTGCTGGGGCACTTCGGACTGAAATAGTGCATTACCTTGCTCATTGGGTCCTGACCAGCCGTTATACCGTTACTGATGTGAACCGTGATATTAAAAAAATTAAATATTGATATAATGTTAATAATACACATATGATAATGTCGTGTAAGTAATCCAGCGTCTTTTAAATAATTTCTGTTTCTTTCTGGCCGTAGTGCACCTTACCTAACGCTGGTTGATACCTGCTATAAAACAGGAAAAAAGGAGACGCAGTAACTAGATAGCAAGCTACTATATGATGTGTGGCTTCTGCTGCCGTGCAAAAAAGAGACAAAACACACACTTTACATTCAAGAGGACAAGCTATAGATTTGACTGAAAGCATTATTTATTCACGTTATATAGATATCACAATAATATCATTCATTTGGCCAAGATAATCATGTAGTGAAAATCTGATATCATGACTCTACTTTTAATTAACATTCCCAATGCTAATAATGATAATGCTTTTCTAACATTGTTAGTCTCTAAATAAGCTTCCAGCTTTTAGGTTTGTAACACGATGACATGGGAAACTGCAATCTGACTTTATAACTGTTCGAAGTTTAGAGCCAGTAGAACATGGATGTACAATGTAGTTGCTGTATGTTTCCAGGCCAGGTGGACAAGTTTGTGAGGAACTCCCTCTACAGGGGCTCCCTGACACAGAGGAACCCAGTGGCCAAGCCCAAGACCAGGGCTACCTTTGCGGTATGACCCCACTCTGCGGTGCTGGGTACAGTGAAGAGTTCAGTTCCAATAGTGTAATGCTACCATTTGAAAAAAAAAGCCTAACCTACACAGGCAAACGTAACTATTGGAAAAAATGTGAACATGTGATAGCAGATTGCTTTAGTCTGTCCTAAAGATATTGAACTTAAAGGAATAGTCTGACATTTTGGGAAATACACTTATTCACTGTCTTGCATTGATTAGCAGATAGATGCCACTCTCATGTCTATACATTAAGTAGAGAGATAGTGACAGGCGATTAGCTTAGTTTAGCATAAAGACCGGAGACCAAACAACAAGCTATTTAAAGATGAACTTAACCCCAAAACACCATACTTACTATTTAAATATAAGATGTAGGAACTTCCTAATCCAGAGATCCGGAGAGAAAGAGTAAGAGAGAGAAGGTGAAAGAAGCATGGCCCAAGAGAAGAGGGAGAGACCCTGGTTGGTAACAGAGCTGTAGACTGTGATAACTCTGAGCAGCATGCCTGGGAATTAATTGCAATATATAATATATATATATATATATATATATATATATATATATATATATATATTATATATTTCTCACCTTTTCCCTGATGGTCTGAATAAGTTGCTAAATTAGTTGTTTTTTAGAAATTAAAGTCAAGTCATTCTTATACTTTTGTTACAACAGATTAATTAGTGAGCTTTTTATTTAACAAACAGACATAAGTGGTATTGATTGTCTCATCTCTTGGCGAGAATGCAAATAATCATTTCCCAAAATATTACACTGTTCCTTTAGATTATTTTTCCATTCCATATGGCTCTGTTGCTGGAAACGAACTCTTCATTTACTGGTTACACTGGGCTTTGACCTCTGCTTCTGGTGGATTATTTTGGTTTCCAATCAAGCTTTGTAGTGGTTTGAAATAATTGTATTTTCTTTTATTTTTGCTTGCCTCTTCCGTTTCAATCAAATAACAAATCCTTTTGCAATTCTTGCATTATTAAGAGTGTATGCCCAATGTGCCGACTTTATTTAATTATTCAAGTTGTTAAAATCTCTCTGCACTCAGTAAAGATAAGGTAAGGGATAATTGCATTTTCTTTCATTTGTGCTTCTTCTGTTTCAATCAAATAACAAATTCAGTTCAGTTCTTGCATTATTGAGAATGTACTCCCTATGTGCCAGCTTTATTCAGTTACTAAAGTTGTTTACATTTCTTAAAACCTGGTAAAGATTATAATCAAATCCTTTTTCAGTGTTAATTTTTTGTTTTTTTTACTTTTACACAAGCACTGATACTATTAATGTGTGCACTTGCTTGGGTCTTTTGTTTTGCCTCAGTCTGAATAAAGCAGGAAGAACTGAGAAGAAACATAACAGGCGTAATTAGATGATGGAAAAAAAACAATGCAATATGGCTGTTTGCTGTGATCTTAAATACCCTAATGTGTATTCAATTTAGGAGGAACATATGTGCATGCATCACACAGCTCTGTCTGGAAGAGGGTGTCACTGTTTCGACTGCCAAGATTTCTGAGTTTAACGTACTTAAAGTTAACGATAAAGATTTGAGACACGACCACGCAGTATGCTTCAGGTGTATCTTTTTTTTAAAAGAAATCTTCTTCAGCCATGAATGAGGCACTTTTTTTGCAAACTTTTATAAGTGTGGGAGCTAAAGATTCTTGTCTTGGAGCTGAGCTGTGATCCAGACTCCAGCAGTCTAAGTCCAAGACACTGTTGAGCGTAATTGTATCTGTAATTTTCACTATTTGCTTATTATCCACCCTCTCCTCTATATGTACTAGTAAAGATGAAACAATGAGCACAAACGTAATGATTATTTTTGTACTTGAATGTGCTTTAATGTGCTCTATTCTCAATTTCCTGTCCGTTTATTTGCTTTAATCATTCACATACCCTCACATCTCACACGGTGATTCATCGGCCATCAACATGTTTATATATTACAGACCTGTTTTTAGTTCCTGTTGTATTCATTTTTATTTTTTTTTGTCTTACTTGCTGATAATGATTTCATGACTAACAATGAATTTATTAACCCAATCAGAGCATGTCGTGATTGATCTAGCTAGCTGTTGATCAAACAGCCAATCATTGCCTGTCTCCATCTCTCTCTTCTTGCAGAAACCAGTAATGACACAGGACTCGTGAGGAGGAGGCTGAGCATTTTGTGACTGACGGATTGTGACCACGTTTGTTATTACACTTTGTAAAAAATTGAAATTTTGCAGGAATGAAAGAGAGATTCCTATTTTAATAGAGACTGTCAGCTGGGATGGAAGCGCTTACATTTATATTTACAAATGTGTCCTTGTGATATTATTGTGTTATTTTACTGGGCTAGATCCACATTATATTTATATGTAGTATATGTTGCACATGACATGGAATAACTTTGCTAGAGCTGCATTTCATGGTATATTTATGGTTTGCATACAGTAGCATTCAAGTTAACAGTGTCATCTGAAATCTATTATTTATTCCATTGTTTCCGCCAAAGAAATGAAAACATGAAACGAAATGATGATGATTTTAAATTGTGTTATTTTGCCAGTCAAAAATCAGGACAGTAACAATAATTACTAATCAGTTTCGGATTTTTCATTTTTCATCTTCATGAACAATTGCTTAGCTATTATAACTAGAGGAAAGGTGAATTGATTGTAAAATTTTCATTATATGATAGCAAAGTTTAATATGGTTAATTAAATATATTGTGATATATATATATATATATATATATATATAAAGCAAATAAATACATTTATGCACATTCAATGTGTATTATGGCACAGTATTGAAAATACATTTATATTAAACTTTTTTTAAATTTTCTTCTGCAAATATTTATGCCAACAAGAGCTTTAATGGAAATGGGCTTGTGTGAGGTACTTGGTCAGTGTATTACCTACAGTAGATAGAGGTCAGTTCGCCCTCAGTTTGGAGAAACAGACAGTAGTCCCAGCAGAGAATCACAGCAATGCTCTCTTGTGGACCAGTGCTGCATAAAAACGTGTTTTAGCCACATTAAAAGGGCCCACATCAAAAAAATCAAGCTTCAGTTTAGGCTATATTAAGAATATTTTCACAGCTTTACCTTGCTGTAAAACTGTAGAGTTTCCGTAGTCCTGCGCATTAAGCCCAACTCTGTGGTAAAGCAGTGAAAATATTCTTAATATAGTGTACACATTTTACATTTTTCTGCCACCTCCAGTCACAGCTTTGCGTAACTCTGCTTCTGTGCCATGATTCCTATGTGCTTCCCCAAACTGGGGGCGCACTGACCACCACCTACTGTAATAGTAATACACTGACTTTGTATAAGTACCTCACAGAACCCCACTTCAAAAAACACAAACTATCCCTTTAAAGGCAGAATTAGCAGGATATCATACAAAATATATATATAATATAATATATAATATAAATATGGTTTGATGATTTTCATAAACTGTAGCCACATACAGACAGGTGAAAGTTAAAGAAAGCAGAAACACAAATATTTCCATTTTGAGCTCATTGAATGGTTTAATGAGCCTGACAGTGATATAAATCAGATCCTGTGACCTTTGGAGTCGCAGATTTTCCTTAAATTAGTCACTCATCTTTAGCTTTTTTAAATTGTATTCTGTTATTTCCATGTTTGAGATCCCAGTTTGTACCCTCTTATTAAATTATTTGCAAACTAAACTGATTCTGTCATTGTATCTTTTTTTATTTTCCTTATTAAGCACTATTGTTGTTTCCGACCATAACTGGAACATCAAACAGCATTTTCTGCAGCGCTTCCCTTGTGCATTTAATTCGCCTTTGTTGCCTCTTTCTGTGGCAGAACTGCATTATCTCACCATAACCTCAACCAATGTGTTTATTGTTAATACAGTGTTGGCAGCCTCTGATAGCGTTCACATTTGCCTGTTATTGCCTTTTATGGATCACCACACAGTCCTCTTCTGATGTATATTTTTTCCTTTTGGTTGTTATTCATTTACATGACTGAACGACCCCGTTTGTTCCTTGAATCCACAGCTTGTATCAGTTTGCACTCAGCAGATGCTTTCAAGGTCCTTTACAAAAGATCTTTTATGAAGTCGACACAAATGTTAAAGTAGAAATAGACAACATTTTTGTATCTATTGCATGAATTGACTCGGAATGCATAATTTTGTTTATAACCTTAGGTTTAAGTTTATGAAACTAGTTCAATACTGAACATAAAGTGTTTAAAACAGCTGCTTAGAGTTAGCATTACCAGTGAGGAACAAAGTACAAAGCACCACTTACAGACTTTTAAACTGCAAAAGAAAATTAAAGCAAAAAGACTTTATTGTTACCGCAGATAGTGTTTGACTTACAGATGAGTCTGGGAAGTGAGGAAAGCATTAAAAAATTACCATAGTTATGAAAATCTCACAAATTAGCACTTTAAAACTGCAGTAAGTAACTTTTATAAATATAACTTTTTGTCATAATTGCTGAAGGTTTTACTATATCTACTATAGATTGTCTGTCTCGTGTACTACTGTCAGGACAAAGTGAAAGGCTCAGCAAATATGACAAAAAAATATTTGTATTAAAATGACCTACTGCAGCTTTAAAGTTTGACTCTCTTACAAAAATCCAACAGAAGTTTATTGGGAACTTTTGGGATTTGGTCGTGCAGTTGTTGCACTGTTGAGGTGTTTCACTATAAGGGGTAAGAACCAAAGGGGTGTAAGTGACATTTTAGAGATTATTATGTATGTTGTCATCCACAAGTCAGGACCAAGTGTGGTATTTTTTTGTTTTGGTATGTCAAATGTCACCCCTCGAATGTAAGCCAGGTCACACGCACAGTGGGCAGGTCCGTGAGGAAATGTCGTGTATCATACTTATTATTCTTGAGAGGTGGGGGACATCAGCATATCAACACATTGCTGCCCCTCCTGTTGGAATATAAAGAGATGAAACAACTGATACGCTGAAACTGACACGTAGAGATATTAGAACCTCAAGTGCATCCACGTCACACAGAAGGTGAGAATTCACTCAGAGACAATCCCTTTGGTCTTCTAGTCTCAAGTTGCTTGTGTCTGGTAATTGGGATTTATAACAGACTTGTCCTTTCACAGCCAGAGGGAGAGAAGCATCTGCTCTGGTTCCGTTCATCATTGCTGCACCTGTTCAGCTGCTGTGGTTTTTACTGGGAGGCAGCAAAGCAGCCTGTGGAGTTTGGTTCTGCAGCTCAACTATCTGACGAGATCTTCCAAACAGTAAGTCTCCCTATTTGCTCAGTATTCCTCTGATGCCTTTATGTGAGATGCAAAGTCAGGTCAAGTGTTGTTTGGATAGAAAGTAACACAAAAGCAGAGCCAGAAAGTCAATTCAAACAGTCTGCTGAGATTAAGGAGAAAACTCCTCCAGAAATGTGTGCAAGACATCCAAAGTGCAGAATTCATGACGTGTTTGCTGCTTAAGCCCGGATCCTTCTTCGGTCTTTCAGCCAACACATTCTCTGGCACAGTTTACCCATCTTTGCTGCAATTTTTTCCAATGGTAGCACATTTGTCATGGCATTATTTTGAGGGAGGGATGCGATCATTCGCATTAGAGTTTATTAAACTGACTTCGAAGCAAGAAACTCTACAAGTTCCAGTGATTTGCTTTTGTTAGAGACGCTGATTCCTGTGATGGAAGTTCAAAATGATATTTTCTTGTAATTTCCTTTATCAGTGGAGAGCACAGATAAAATGATATTTCTTATGTGTGTGTGTGTGTGTGTGTGTGTGTGTGTCACCTCTTTATCAGCTGCAAATTGACACTTTATTCTGGGCAGTGGTGAAAGTACATTTACTCAACTACTGCACTTAAGTAGAATTTTGAGGTACTTTACTTAAGTATTTACTTTTTATATGATATAATACTTTATATTTATATTCCACTACACTTCCAAGCAAATATTGTACTTTTTACTCCACTACATTTCTTTTATACCTTTTATTTATTTTGCAGATTTAAATTAATAATGCAAAATATATTAAATTAATAAAATATTATATGTATTTTTAGGACTTCATTGAAATGTTGGTGGGGAATTCAAAATCAAATCAAATAATCAAACAGTATATAAAGTAGTTAGGATTATTTCCACCTGTATCATCTGGAACATTCAAGTTACACACAATAATCAATAAACAACATCAAATCATTTTAATCCAGTAATATATATGATTTTGAAATGTGCCATTCTGAACATTTTTACTTTTGAATGCAACTTATACTTGAGTATTTCTACACTGTGGTGTTGCTACATTTACTTAAAGGTGCTGTAAGTGATTATTATGTTTGTTAAAATAAGTTTTAAACAGTTCTACATTCTGACAGCCATCACTGATGTAAGAGTGTCCAGTCAGTTAATTGGGTCTCCCAGTCCTTCCTTTCTACAGTACATTTTCTGGTATCCCGTTCCCACTTCATCCAATTAGGGGAGAGAATTCCAGAGGCGGTCCGGGTTGGGGAGAAAGAACGAACAGGAAGTTAGTCAAAATGCCGAACTCACTTAACTTAAAGCTTTTTCTGGCGGCCCCTGTGGACACAAGCGGTACTGGTTCATATCCTTAAAGGGGAACCTGGTGCCAGGCAATAAGAATAACTTTATATAAACATCCAATCTTCTTGCTGATGGTCTCATGTGCTTATAGGTCACATATAGAGGCATCCGAATTAAATCGAGACTGTTTCATGCAATTAAAAACTACTTGTAATAAAGGTTTAAATGAAGCATCCGGGTACTTCTTCCTCCACTGATTCTGGGTTTTATGTTTGTTTTTTCGCTCCAGGTCGAACTGCAATGAGGGTGTGTGCAGTACTCTGTGTTCTCTTGCTGTTGCTGAATGAAGGCCTAAGTGGATCTCATCGTGACGGTTCCATAATTATCAGAAGTGAGGAATCCCCTATTGACTCAAAATATACAATATATACATTACTTGAGTAATTCAAGTCCAGCAGATTAGATGTCATTTTCAAGAGTGTTTTTATTTCTGTTTTCATAATAAAGTCACAACCAGTCACATAACTTTGCTTACAATTCCTGTTTTATTTTTAAAGTGAAACAACCATTGAGAAAGAATTAAGAATGACCTGAGATCATCACTTCATAATAATGAGCCAGGTTTTAAAATACATTCTTTCACAATGTATTATTATTATATATTAAACATATATTTATTATACATTTTGTTTGTATTTGTTTAAATTATTATAGATGTTATAATTGCATTACATTTAACCCTATCTTTTTATTTTTTAAAACCAGAACGGGAGTAGTTCTATGTACAGTAATTGTTTTTGTAATGTGGGTGAACTGATCCTTTATTCCGGTCCTTGCTAGGACTGCCATGATTGGTTGGCATGCATAACATTGCCAATTCATGAGACTTACACATGATGAAATGTGGGATTTGTCTCTCGTCCAGATCCAGACATCGATGCCTCCTGGTACACAGGCAGAGGGATCAGACCGCTGGGGAGATTTGGCCGAAAGGTTGCGAGGAGAAACAAGCATCTGGCTTTCATCACAGCCAAAGTTTACAGACCAACAGCTGACAGTGAAAGCAACGTTTGGATCACACAGTAAAAATGCTATGAATCAGTGAAGATCCGTGTTCTCATTTTTCATTGCTCACATTGTTTATGTGTGGGGTTTTATTGAGGAGTTTTCTGTAAACATGTCAATTATTTCAGTTGGGTTTTTTTTCAGTACAATATGGGCACTTTTAAGACTGTAACTATTGTCAGAGTTGCTGTAATGATGACTAGAGATGGCACACGCGTGGTGGGGCCTCTGTTGCCTGTTACGTCTGTGACCAGCGTCGGTAGGCAGCTCGAGTGTGATTGGCATTCGGTCCAGTAGATACCGGCCTCATACGGTGTTTCGGTACCCAAACCTAGAAATAATCAAAAATTGTTAACTAAATAAACAACTCTTAAAAGTGTGATATAATGGTTTTGGGTTTCAGTTTAGTTATATTCTGTTTTATGTTGAAAGAGTCCGTCCTTGTGTGTTACTTCACTTCCTGCCTTTGTCTTTTCCCGCCTGTTTTCAGTGTCCCATGTGTCTGCCTGATTCGTCTCACCTGGGCCTCGTTAGCCTTCCCTCACTAGTGTATTTAGTCTCTGTGCTCCCTTGTTTCAATGCCAGCTCGTCTTTGTCAGTTTGTCAAGCGTTTCAGGGGAGTTTTTCGGGAGGGGCTAAAATCTGATTGGCCACCCCAAGTGCCACCCCATTATCCTTCCCGTCTTTCCAGGGGGTGTAACAGGCACTGTTTTAAAGCTATAGTGAATATACTGCTATCATAACGCATCCAATGGTGTCATGCTAGGGGTTAAATAACGCTCCAAAGTTAGGCTAAATTTGGGCGATGGCAAAACTGGCATGGCGAATTTCAAAGGGATCCCTCGACCTCTGATCTCAAGATACCTGAATTAAAATGGCTACTATGGGTACCCACAAGTCTCACCTCTGCAGACATGCCCATTTTATGCTAATCCCATGCAGTTTTTTGCATTTGGTTTAAATGTATTTTCTCCTAGTGTATTTGAATATATCTGCATACTGGGGTTGGAATTGCATAAATTGGGAATGACTTGGAAGCAGAGACACATACTCCATGCCACTCCTGCATAAATCAGAGCCCCTCTTGTGCCTCTCCTGTCTAGAAAAAGTTTGGAAACCCTGCAAGCATTCGAGCCCTTTCCCCAGTGTTTTGGACTTACTACCTTGATTTTCTGATTTTCTGCTTTATTTTGTTGGACTTGAGATTTCCTGGCTAACCCCTTTGAATTTGTTTTCCTTTTAGACTGATTGTGTGATTTGCCGTGACTGAGCTGTTTCATATATACACCTTTTGTTATTAAATCATCTGTACTGCACCTGTTCAGCCTCTGAGTCTGCATTTGGGTCCACTATCTTGTATTCCTTGTTTGGCATTTGTGACGTGAATACGTAATTTACTTCTTACTTTTTGTGTTACCTCAAAACTGAATAAGATCAGATAATTAATCAGAATCATTAATAAACTTTGCCATGCATCCTTCAAATAATTCTTCAGTGCTTTATACTCCAATTGTTCATAGCTTATCCTCACTTTGGTTGTAAATATACTTCAACAGTTTCAGAGTTCACTCGAGGGGTTTGCACATGTGCAAAATCTGAAACATCAGTGCATTTTATTCACAAGATTTATGTACTCGTAATGACAACCAAATCATTCCCATTTTATTCTTACTGCATTTCATCCACTCAGCGTGAGGTGTTTCTTTGTTTCTGTGAGACATCCAAACCAAACGAGGACCGGCAGCCCCTCAGGCCCTACAGAAGCTTGGTTTCAATCAGCACAAGAAAGCCTTGTTTCAGCGTCGAACTCAGCAATGTTTTAAATCACCGAGCAGTAAAAAGTCCACACTTGGAGCCATCCTGCAGAGAAAACTGTTGTGTGAATGGAGAACACATGAGACAGCATTGCATAAAGAGCAAGTGACTGACAGCAGGGGAGAAAAATTACTTTATAAGGAGGCTTCAACTGGCCAAATGCAAACAGAAATATTACCTAATGTCAGCGGAGTCTCTTAAATCCTGGTGTTATTAAAGCATAAAGGTAATATTCGTATTATTCATGATTGTGGTTGTCGGGGCATATAGCAGATTCTTATCCATCACGCATCTACAAATCATTATTCCAGGGTAAAAACATGCAGCACTTCCTGGTCTATGGAACAAATACAGAAGAATTAATGTCAATAAAAATGTTATTGGACACTTGAAGAGTTCAGGATTTGGGGAAATACCTTATTTCTTTTTGAGGGTGAGAAGATTTACATCAATCTAATGCTTGTGATAAATATGGAGCTTGAATCAGGATCTGTTTAGTCTAGCATAAAGACACTCAGCAGCACCTCTAAAGGTAAATAAATGATCACATTATATCTGCTTTGTTTAAACTGCACAAAAGCAGAAATGTAAAAACAATCGTTTCTAACTTTAGAGGGGAGTTTCATTTTGAAGCAAATAGTTTGTACATCCATTCGGCACTTCTGCTCAACATCTTAGACTATAGTGCAGGTTGCCAGATACAGCAAGTGAGCATCTGGTCCAAAACCTGGAAGCCTGTGTGACAAGACTGACGCGCTGCACACAGTCACAGCTGCTGCTTGCCAAGAAATTGTTCCAGCACATAATTCCACTTAAAACTATAAATTGTCACTTTACGTTTGTGTTTCTGCACTGGTCAAACAAACGTTATACAACGTGTCAGTGAGCTTTAATACAGTTGTTTGCATTTATATGTCTTTACTTTAGACAGAGCCAGGCTAGATGTTGGCTCATATTTGCCATTTCATTTTGGGACGTGGGCAGTGAGTCAGAGGCCTAAATATCTCATTTCATTCTTGGACAGAGAGCAAATAAGCACGTTTTATAAGTGTTAAAGTATTTCTTTAAAAAGATCAATCTTACTGGTTCAGTTAAGCATATGTCAGCAGAGCTGAGGACCCAACACAAACACTAAGAGTGACACCCAGTAAAACAATAGTAATTATTTAAGACATTTAGAGTTTCTTTCTTTTCCATTAAAGTTGTGCAAGTTAGACACATTGATGTATCACTTACAGTACGTCTGTGACGCTGCCCACAGAGCTACAAATAAAATCAGCTCTCCAGACCCTCACCCCAAAATTTAGATTGATAAATGTGTCTTTAATTATCTTTATTAACCCTGACAGGGTCTCTATTGTTTATTTAAAAAAAAGGAACTTGGAGAATCACATCCAACTGAACTCTGCTTAGGGGATATCTGCTCAGTTTGATCACTGATATATAGAAGCAAGGCGGGAGACACTCAGTGAAGGCAATTTGGGATCAGTGCATTGACATCTGGCATTGACAGAGACTGCGGGGGTCGATTCTGGACCCACTGAGGACAATCACTGCAACAAATGGAACTATTGTGGAAAGAGCCCTGTTGAGTAGAAGCATAACACAAAAACCAAAGAATGTAGGAATAACAGTGATGGTAAAACAATCTGAAATGTTTGTCTTGGTTACGCATGTTTGATGCGTGTTGCAGGATATATAGAGTGCTGTGCATTGGTTAGTAGGGTGAGAGATGAAAAAAGGCAGAGAACCACAGATTCAGAAGGCTTTTATTCCGTGTGCAGCTTTAAAATGATGAAGACATACAAAAAAAAACAGAGACAGGCAGCGATACCATTGACAGTCACAGATGTTAGGGTCCAACTTTGCAGCAGGATGCAAAAGGACTGAATGTGTCTTTATGATGCAGATCCACAAGTGGTGTCTCCTGCCAGTCTGACAGACCTCCCTGCTGCTCTCCCATACATTCATACACTCTGTGGGCTGAATGAGAGCTCAGTTACTGAAGACATCACTCTCACAGATGTGTTATTACACAGGACCATGCAGACATTTTACAGTCCAGGAAAAAGAAAAACTGGCACCTGACACCTACACTTAGTATTTTATATCTTTCATAGTGCCAGTAATTATGTTTAAACTGATGGGGATAACGTGTATTTGCTCCTCCTGTTTGTATCTACTGCTCTCTAGTGGTGCATGAGTGGCCTTTCCCAGAGATTAGTCCGTCAGGCAGACTCTTTTTACACATGCAGCTTCCACTCGTGTAATTACAGGAATCCCTAACAGAAACCATAACCCTGTAACCTGTATTTAAAAGCATCTGATTGGTGAGAGTTGCTGGGGCAAAGCACAGGCCCAGGAGCAAACCTGGAAGGCTGAACTCAGGTGACAAAAGACCCAAAACAGCTTCAACACCTTTACTTACCAACAGCTAGGAGCAGCTCGCTGATCTGTTCCCCTGACAGTGCTGATGTTTCCATAAAGGATAAGCCCCTGTCATTGGCCAGACTCTGTCCTTCCTGCATGATGACATAAAGAACCCTGTTAATGCATGTCTCAGATGTCTGCATATTAGATAGGGGATTGATTGAGGTGAAGGAGGGTGAGTTTCTGCGTCTGTACCTGCACTGAGACCTGACGATCCTCTACCAGATCTCCCTTGTTGCCTACCAGCCATATGACAGTAGATCCTGGGGTGTACTGGTTCTCAAGCTCTTTGAGCCACACTTGAGCTCTGATAAATGTTTCCTGGAGTGACAATACACAAGAATACACAGTGGAGTATACACCAGCCGACATAAGGCAAGATAAAGAAGAAATGCCCATGGCCAGGTGTCTGTTCCTTTTACCCTTTGGCTGATATCATAGACCAGGAGTGCAGCGTGGGCTCCTCTGTAGTAAAGTGGGGTGACACTGTGGTATTTTTCCTGCCCTGCCGTGTCCCAAATCTCAAAGCGGAGAGTGACGTTACTCAAATGCACCACCCGGGTCAGGTAGGCACCTATAGAAGCAAACAGCACAGGGACACCAGAGGAGATTCATTTGTTCATGTCTTTAGAGACGTTTTCTGGCTGGGTCTTATTTATGAAAGATTAAGAATCAGGAGATCATAAGAGGGTTACTTTAAACCTAATCCCAGTATCTCACTCTTAAACTAAGGTAACTTGATTACAGCACTAATAAAGCTCACTAGTTAACAGGTTCTGCAGTATATTGCAGTTTGTTTAATCTGTACAAAAACTGAAGTGTAAAAAGAGACAAGCTGTGGTTTCACTACTCCCTTCCAGGAAATACTCAAACAAAACTTCCCTATAAAAACCACAACTTGTCATTTTTACACTTTGATCTTTGTATAGATTAAATATGAAGATTCAGTTAATGAGTGAAATTTAGAGGAGCTTTTAAGCAGTTCTTCCCACAGAGCCACGCTAGCTGTCGCCTCCACTTCCAGTCTTTATGCTAAGCTAAGCATCTTCAGACATGAGAGTACACATCCTCTAATCTAACTCAGCAAGAAAAAAATAGTTTCAAAATGTCAAACTATTTCTTCAAGATAAACATATATCATATAAGGACTTATTTATAAAATCACTGCTGTCCAAAGCATCATGTAAAGTGTTATTAACTTACAGCCTACAGTAGGCGATGTATTCCTGAACTCATCTTTCCCAAATCGCATTGCCAGACTGGACTTCCCCACACCGGAGCTTCCCAGAAGAACCATCTTAACCCTGAGGGTCCGAACTGGTCTACTCAGAGTGTCACTGTGGAGCTGGGATCCTCTTGGCACCCTTGGGAGATTTTCCCCCATTAAAAGTTCACTTATCTCCAAAACAGTGAGAAGAATACACACGGACAAGAAAGTCCAAGAAAAGTCCTCAAGTCCTGATCCAGTAGTCCTTTTCCTGTTAAGAAACAACTCCAAACTGTACAGAAGAGTCAGTACGTCTTCTTTGTTGTATAAGAGTCTGCAACTGTGCCAGCTACACCTTGTTTTACAGAAAATAAAAGTAAAACCAAAGTCCAGTCTTAACTTGTAAAAGGCCAACAACAAAGTCTCACTTCCTTGTATACAACCACAAATGAGCCATAAAACCTTCCAGCCAATTACAAGTTAGCAGCACATGCACTGTTTTACTGAGATAGACATTTGGGAAGTTTTTAAGGTAACAGAAACCAAAGGAGTTGTGGGGAATTTTTGGGTCTTTTTCCAAAGTTTGATGCTGTTTCCCCTTCAGCTATTTTGAGTCAACAGCTTCACAAACACAAGCTGTGTTCAGTTTCTTTCTAATGTACTTATCCATTCAGACAGTTCAAACCAAAGAAAATCAATTTCAAACTACTGATACTTCACACAGCAGGCTTTTAACATTAATTTCCTGTTTCAATAAGTATGCTGTATGTGAAAATAACTAGTGTATATCATTGGAGATTAGACACAGAAATTGTCCCCATTCTTTGGATATCAGAGGCTGCACAGAGATTCTACATCGGCTGCAGTGGGCCTGTTCCCTTCCTGTGTGTTTCTCCTGAAATGACACTGTACCAACACAGGAGGGCGGCATTGCATATGTTACCGCAGTGTGCTTAAAAGCCTCACAGTCTATGAGCATGTGTATGTCCTAAATCTATCCTTTGATGTTATTTTGTGAACCAATTACACATTTTAATGTCAATAGTTATTGTTATCTACAATATTATTTCAATGAATATATATAACTGTGTCAGTGCACATTCAGTCACTTTATTATCCCATATGGTGAATCTTGACTAGTAGTCGGGGGCACAAACAAAATAAAAACAGTACAGACAAAAAAGAAAAGTACCAAAACACAACAATGATTCTTCTGTACGTACAATATACAGTAAACAATAGCACAACAACAACAATGCTAATAATGTGCAAATACAAGTTAAAATCACATTTTAGCAGGGTTATTGTACAAGGAAATCTACAGGCTGAGGGAAGAGGTTCAAACTCAAGGTGCATGTGGTGGTTCATACAGTCCAGTATAGACCTGGTCTTGTGGAGTCTTGTGGCTGGTCAAAGATAGCCATGAAGAGGATTCTGTGGGACACCGATCACATTCCCAGCAACCTTAACGATGTGGTTCCGGTGGTTTAGGTTGCCGTACCAAGCGATCACAGAAAAAGAAAGAACAGATTCAATAGAAGACGTTTTCCTGTCCACATTAAAAACATTTAACTTCCTAAGGACATTGTTGTCCCTTCTTACAGACTGCATCAAATTTAAAGTTATTATCAATGACTGAGATGGTGGGTGGGATGATTTCCTTTAGAAATCAATGAACACATCCTTGCTCAATTATAATAAACCATATTAAAATGAATTAGATACATATATTAGATATAGGGGGATGTCTTCAAATTCTGTATTGAAAGTGTTTTATAAATGGATTATTAGATACTTTAAAGGCACTCTTACGATGCGTCCTATGTCTCAGTTTCTCCAGTAAGAAAAATATGACAATGAAAGTGTAACAACTCCTCACAAGGTTGTAATCCTGGACAAACGTTTGAGGCAATGCAATGATAGACATGATTGTTTTAAGCACTGTGTGTAATTCAGACCTAATTATAAGTTCTTTATCTATAAATTATGAATGCATAAGACACTATATTTAAACTGTATGCGCATCTGTATTACAAATCCTTTGACGACGATAATAATATAAAATTAGGGCTCTACGTTGTGTCCAGTCCAACAGAGGTCTGGTCTATCTCTTTAAGGAAGTCAGGCCTGTTTTTAGAGCTGGCTGGTCATCATTAAAAATAGCCAGGGGGTGTGAGAGTGTGATAGCCCATGCTAGAGCTGTAGTTTCTGGCTGGGACTGAACCCCTGAACATGTATGTAGAGTCCAGAGGTTGATGTTGCGTTCAAGTGCTCTGCGTAAATTCCAGGATCTTTGCAGTGTGATTTTAATTAATAGATTAACATACATACTTTGATTCTCTGATGGTTTCATGCTGCAGAAGTTAAGTGACAATGTGCAGTTGCTAATGGTTGAGCCATTTCGGGGTGAACTTAATATGCAATATTAGTCATACATGTACAATACTACTCATTGATAATTAGTTTCTCTTCTTTTTATTTGCATATTTGATGTTGAGTAACAGAAAGATATCAAGTTATATTACTTTAATATTGTGATACTTGGATTATGTTACGGACTAATTTTATTTTAAAGGTAATTAAATCAGATTTTGTTTTTAAGTAACCCTCCCAAATCTGACTTTATTATTAATTATTGTTATTTACTTCAGTAAAGTATCCGAATACTTCTACAACTGGGTATTCGGGTACAGTTATGTGTTCTGCTTTGTGTTAAAGTAGCACTGTTTGTCTCTGTAACATCCGCCAACTATTACACTTGTCACTTTTTGCACTATTAATACTGGTACAGTTTTACATACATATATAAATATTATTATTATTATTATTATTACACCTGTACTTCATATGTATAGCCTCGTGTCTAAAGCCAATATTTCCTCTAATCTGTACTGCTGTATATATTTTTGTCCTACTTCCTGCTGTGACCTTTCTTAGGCTATTCAATTTCTATTTCCATTTTATTTTATTTTTTACTTACATGTATATACCTTTACATACATACTTTGCCCCCGGGGTTTAATAAAGGAATTCTGTTTTTTTTTTTACTGAATGTGTATTCTCTTGTCTGGAGCTGCTGAGTGAATTTGATCAATAAAGTCCATCTTTTATCCAGTGTGGTTAATTGTTTCTAGCGACGCCCAAATATCCCACACCACGTGAAGGCGTCTTGATTGAGTACAGTCTTTGAAGTTCGTCGGTGTGACAGGTTCGCGTCCGCTGGTGGCGACAAACTAACAAATGCTGCTGGATTAACATAAAAAAAAAACAACAAAGAAAGCCTCCCACATTGTACGATAAAGATAGCGTTAGCTTCAGTTAACGTATTTATCCTTTAAATGTCGGTGTTTAATCTCATCTTTTTCCGTCGGACAGACAGCTTTTAACGGTTGAAATCGGTTCTGCTCGTAAACGCAGCAGAGAAGCGCACGTGGAGGGACAGACGCAGTGTGAGCCAGACTTCCTCGCGAGTTAGAGAGAGAGAGAGAGAGAGAGACAGAGAGAGAGAGAGACAGGAAGAAGTGTTAAAAAAAAAAAAAAGATAAAACGGATATAAGACAATGACCCACGCTTCTCCTCCTCGACTTTAACTTCATTTTTATATGCGACACATGAGACCCAGCAGTTTATAGTGGCCGCTCTGGGGTTTTCTTTTTGAGGGGGGGTGGAGGATTACTCGGTGCGCCGTTTTGCGACTTTTATCTGCAGCGAGTGGATACTTCAGGGTCTGAAAGGGAAGACATGGGGACTCAGGGCACAGGACGGAAAAGGTCTACCAAGAAGGAGAGGTCGACGGCGGAGGATGATGCCCTGAATCTCATAGCGAGAGAGGTGAGTGGAAGGAAATTGAAGGTGTCCGAAAGGAGTCGACTGGTCCTTTTTTTTTTTTCCTTCTGTGACCCCAAAACCCACATACTGACAGAAGTGTTAGCCCCCCCCTACTCCCAAATGAAGAGAGGATTTGACAGGATCATCCAGAATTTTACCTCCTGGTGGAAAAAGAAGACCTTAAACGCACCCAGACAGAAATAGCCCATCTGTACCCAGTTAAACTCTAAATTTCATCACTGTCCTTTTAAATATATCTTTATTTTAAGGCAGGCAGATTTAAGGATTGCATTGCTGTATACTATAAGTAGGTTAAATAGCTCCTTTTTATGGCAATACAGTATGGAAACTAACTTGTATAGACCTGAAACATGCTTCATATATAGAGTTGGTAAAGTCAGTAATTGTTGCCTGGTGACATAGTTGCAAGAAGGGTGTGTTTCACATTCAGAAAAAAGCATTTAATTCACATTTTTTGTGCACTTACATGCATTAAAATTGCCCTTTAAATAAGTATGCATCCAATTTTTTTACCCACATAACAAAGAATTTAATGAATCAGTTATTAATTGTGCAAAAATAACATTTAACTGCAGGTTTTTAGTGGCTGTAGGGGTGTTTCTGCTCTCAGTGTGGACTGTACAGTGTCTCATATTCAATAAAGGGCCACTGTTGGCTCGTATATTCCACTTTCTGGTTGACATGCTCTGTGTCTCAGCTCTCATTTTTGTGTCCCGCAGCTGATTTTAAATTGGTTTACTCCACAGAGGAATAGGCCTCTCGTGTGCTAACCTGCAGGGATTGTTGTGCTACCCCCTCAATAAAGCAACACTGGAGCTGGCAGCAGTTGCTCGCATTTGTTTCTTACAGGTGGCGAAGTCGTGTTGTGACAGGTTCACACTATTTAAAGGTGTCTAATCTCTTTAATATGATGAGTCTAGTGCAGGATAAATGAATGTTTTGTGGTAGCAGTAATGCCCCCCCGTGTGTGTTCGGGGCTTAAAGTCAGCCTGTTTGAAGTTTGATCCCCTGCACGCTTTTGTCTGCGCTCGTGCCTTTTGAGCTGCAAAACACGGGGCAGAAAATCAATATTTGAGGAAAGCAAAAACGCCAACCATCTACCCAAAACCTGACCTGAAGCACTGTGCATCTTTCTTTGAGCTTGTTAGGATTTTATATGTGAGAAGTTCTGTGTAAGGACTGTGCCATTTTCTTTCCTGTGTATGTCCAGATGAACCAATGTGGATCTCTGCTGCCTGTTTCTTAAGTAAATTAAAGTTTCTCCAGCAGTGAGGTGGTGAGCATCACAACCTGAAGGCCGCCGTCACAGCCATCGCCCTGATTTAGGGCAGCTTTGACGCACTTTTGTTCAGTTGGGAGGAAGCTAGTTCTGTGCTAACCCAACCCGGATGTGTCACAAAATTTGCATGTCACCGTTAACTGACAAAGACAAACTCTACTGTCATCACTTCTCTGGCTGTGAATGACCCCCAGTACCAATGCCGAGCCTGCGGAGGTTTTTGAATGTTCTCTTCACTGCTTAGCTGACTTATTTACACTGCGATGGTGTATCTGAGGTTGCACATTCCTGCGGCTGGCAGTTTGTGTTGTAGACTATTTTTCAGCTATTTTAAAGCTCATGCACAGTTAGTCAGCAGTAGCAGATACACCGTGTCCAAACAGGAGATTCTCCTTGATGAATGAATCCTCATCTGTTTTCTTGCAGTAGTGAGGCACAACTCCAGCGGTAGAACGGTAATTGCGGCCAGTTTTCTGTCACATCTGTGCAGCTAGGAGAAAGTGTGTGCCTTTTAAGTAGCAGAGGTGGGGGGGGGGAGACACACATCCCCTCGCTGGCGGTCCTCTGACAGGACGGTATGTCAGCCCTGATGAGTTGGCCTGTTCTGCAAAAGAGTTTTAAAAATAGACGCTCCTGAAAGATCAGCTGTTGCTTCACCCCAGTTTTAGATTGGGTCTGTGGGTGGGGGATGGGGATGGAGGAGGAGGAGGAGGTGGAGGAGGAGGAGGGAGGGTGTGGCTCATCGAGCAGCCGTCCCACCAGCATGGAAACAGAAGGAGCAAGTTGCTGCATGGAAGTGTTTCTGGAATTGTTTCAGAAAGTTTAGGTCTAAAGAATTAGTTTGGATAAACGTATATTTTCTGCTTTCTTTAATCCTATATGACAGAAAACTGAATATATTCAGGTTGTGGACAAAAAGTGATCAACATTTTCTGACATTTTATGGACCAAACAACTAAGTGATTGATTATTAAACATATTAAAAGACGTTTAACTTCCCACCTGTCTTGGAAATTTAGAGGCTAGTTTTCCAGTCATGGAAACACCTGGAATTCGATTAAAATGGCCCAAAATCCTGGAAATACTTTATGTTGTTTATGCATTTCAGTTCCTCACTCACATCCCCAAATCTCCTGTAAAACAAGATAAATTCTACTTGATTTAGAGACCGCAGCGGAAAAATCAGCTTTGGTGAGAACAGCCAAGTCCTTACTTTTATGTCCCACATAAAACACTGACTGCCTACCTGTAATAATAAACCTGAGACACTTCATCATGAACTCGTCAATACTAGGCTTACCGGTAAATTATTTGACAGTTTGGGAGCAAGTGCTGCCCTGTATTGTCATTAAAAACTCCTGGAAAAGGTCCTGGAATATGATTTCTTAAGAAGAGTAGAAACCCTGAAGCAGCTTTTGTTTCGTCACATTAGTGTCAAACCGGTCTATTTTCATTAAAGCTCAAATATTCACTATATCTGTCGCCATATCTGTAATCAGTGAAGCTCTAATAGAGAACTACAGATGAATTAATAATGAAAATAATCGTACGTTTCAGCCTTAATCACGTCTCTGTACATTTCTCTACTCTCCTTAGTATCACAGGGTTCAGAGAAACTGTCAGTACGGTAAACCTGACTTGGCATGGACCAAATGGGAGAAGACCACACAGTAGGAAAGAATGCCAACGTGGAATACCAGAGCATTAGTAGTTCTGTACTTTAGGGAGTTGGTTCCCTGCACATGTCAAACAGTTTGAATCCAGTTGTAAACATTAATTTGTAGCATGAAGTCGGCAAACTGTAGCTGGCCTGTGCAGGGCTTGGACTGTGTTTGTTTATATAGAGAAGAAGAAGAAGAGTCGAGCCAATTCGCAAACATTGTTAAATTCATTAAAGAAGGCTGGCTTGTGATAGTGTTCATCTGACTCACTCTGCACCATTTATATATATATATATATTATATTATATTAGTCCACCAATCCAATAATTTCATTATATAATCCCACTGTTTTAAATCCAGTCCTCTTTTTTTGTGATGAATGAAGCTAATGAGGGATATAATTTACAGTCTGAGTCCATTTACAAAGAGGAATGGATACTATAAATATTACACTGTAGAACAAAACAATCAGCGCAAGAGTAATATTTCAAGTAAGGACCTGTGCCCAAGAGCTTTTAGCCAAAAAGCAGAGTAGTAGTAGTAGTAGCGTAATGTGTGTATTAAAAGCCCCTGCACATCCTCACGAGTGTTCTGGCTGATTAGACCTGACCGATTTTAAAGCTAGGAATGAACTAATAGGAATAATAAAAGTGTAGCACCAACAGGCCTTTATCACATGATTTAGCAGCTTCAGTGTCAGGGTCCTGGTGTTGTGCATGCTGGCTCACCGTCACACTGTCATGGCTTACTGGGACACCTGAATAGAACCGAGCCATTGTTCATGCTTTCACTAAAACCTGCGCTTTTCCTTCTATTACAAGGCAGAAACTAAAATCACGAGTGTGCAGGGTCATTAAACTTGTGCGATAACTGCCCATCAGCAGCAGCCTCAGACCAAACCACAGATAAAGGATGACCACCATGAGTTGTGATTTTCAGTGACTGCCTGTCTACACTGACTACCTACAGCTGCTCTGCCTCAACTCTGCTAACTGCTAATGGAGCTGCCGTTAGGATGCAACCGAACAGGGCTCCGCATTAATATGTGGAAGCAAAAAGTTGTTAGTGAATAAAGTGGACATACTTCCTTGAAGTTTGGTACCGAAACTCACTCCTACTTTTGTAAATGCCTTAAGTTCTACTTAGCAAATGTTAGCATGTCGACATGTTAAACTAAGATGGTGAACTAACGCGGTTGTCAGTGTGAGCGCGTCTGTATCCCGACATTACCGTTGTGTGTGTCTAGGTACAGTCTAACCACACCGATATTGACGAGTTGCATCTGCAGAGAACCACCAGCAACAATTCTTGACAAAACAGGAAAATGCTGCCTTAAAAAGTGGAATGTGCCAAGATTTAAGAGGAACACCAATTGTTATGGATCTGCAAGACCGACAAATGCTGTAACGGTTATTAAGTGCTTCCAGATAAATGGCCAGTTGCAACAAAAATAGCAATAGGCGGTTCACATAAGTGCGTACTCGGCATGCTTTTCCAACAGGCGGTCAGTTTCATTGCTTGTTTGCTTGCCTTTTGGTCCGAGGAAAAGTTCATGTTTGTTGAAGCAGTCAGCTGTGGTATTCACTCTAATGAGCAGGCCAACTGGAGCTTTTGGTTTTGGTTATTTACCAACCAGCTCGTCTGTCTCTAGGGACAGGAGGACAGTTTGGTTAAGATTAATTAAATCCCCACATGCCAGATCTCGCTGTTGGGGATTTTATTCACACGTATTCTGATGATTTCTCCTCAGTTCTTTACACGGACATGGCTGCATGTATTTAAGAAAATCTTCAAAAAAGTCAAATTGGATTCTAAGTGAGGGAAAATAGTCTGTATGTGTCTGTGTGCAAATAATGGCTAACATATATAACTATTAGGCTGAAGAATAGAAAAATACCTGAAATAGGTTGTTTTGATTTGATCATTTATGTATAATTAAATAGTGCAAACACATCAGACTTGTTACCAAATATACAGCAGATTACTGTAAGCTCTTTTTTTAGCCTTTGTGGTTGTGATATCTCCTGTAAACCACAAGTATG